AAGGAAATTGTGGGGTGATGCTGTGGGGAAGGGAAATTGGGGCTAAAAGAACCCGTGAACCCCGGAGCCCGGAAGGGGAACTGCCTGATTCAGTCAGTTCGGGGGGGCAGAGGGGTGCAATACAGGTAGGCGTAAAATGGGGAAGGGACATGGGCTACATGAAAACCCAAAAGGAAGGACTTGGGGGAAAAAAAATTAAATATAACCCTTGGTTATCCCTTTTTTCGGCCCGTTCATGATCTTTCCCCGCCCGCAAAACTCTACGGGGGTGGTTCAACGGTCCAGATGGAATGTGGTCTCCCCGGACTTGGGGTTCTTTCTTCCTGTTTTACTGCCGAAAGGGAAAATAAATAGCGTATGAAACTCCTCAGGGGGGTGATGGGTTTAAGGTGAACGGAAAAAAAAAGAAATTAACCTCGCTTTGTCCATCATTTGTGAAACCGGGGGAAAAAAGCCAAGGCAGTCGCCCCACCCAAACCCTAAAATTTAGGGGGAACGTTGGCATGGAGGTGGATCTTTGCAAAAAGCTTTTTTCCCGTTTGTCCGCCAACTTAAAAAGTATTGTAATGTATTGAAAAAGGAAAAAACTCGTCATGATTGAGTTAAAGTACCCTTGGGAGATAAATTGAGAGGCCTCGAGGGGCAGGTTTAACCAAAGTGAAGGGGTGGATACTGGCTGTTTCCCATTTAAAATGTGGCGGGGGTTTTGTTCGCATCTGTGGCGACTGATGACGCGATAGGAATCTAGAAGATAGGTAAGACTCCAAAATGGCCCAAGTCCCCGGGTGCGTTGTGGCTGTGATTTAGAGAAAAGGGGAAAGGGGGAAACAAACATCTCCCACCTAAAAAGGGGGGGGCCCCTGCGGGGTATACTGGATAAAGGTCAAAAATCAAAAGCGGCGAGACCCCTGATTTCTTTTGACCCGGTGATCAGCAAACAGAACGCCCAAAAAGGGGTTACAGAAAATCACTTTGGTGCGTTCCCGATTTTTATCTTATCATTAAAATTTAAAATTTAAATTTTAGTTGTAACGTGAAAATGGTGAGGATATCTTTTTCTAGTAAGGGTTATCAAAATTTTTAAAATTTCAGTATGTTGTTATTTTGCATTAATAAATTATAATTTTTTTAAAAGTGATGTTGTAATTTTTTAATAATATAAAAACAAAATTTTTAAATTTTGGTTTTCATTCTTTTTTTATAAAAGAACGCAAAGTAATAATAAGTTTTTTTATAATTTAAATTAAAAATTTATTTTTTTAATTTGATTATTTTTTAAAACCCAAAACATAGAACGTTTGTTTTTTATATCAATAAATTTAAAAAAATACACCCTAAACTCCCTTTTAAGTTTTTTGTAGGAGCTCAATCTTTTTCTTTTACTTCTGTATTCCTGAATTATAAAAAAACTGTTACTCATTTTTTACGGATGATAAAAAAAATTTTTTATACTTTTTTATTGTTTCGTCGCCGCCGTCTCGGGTTAAAACGCTTTTTTTCTTCAAAAGAAAATCGGGTTTAATCGAATGGAATTTTTTGTGAAAGGAAAAAAAATTTTAAAAAATCGAAAAAGAGGTATTGATTTTTTTTGAGGGGGGGGGTTCCCCAGTATTTTCAGATTGCCCAGTGTTTTTTATGTTCGATATTTTTTCAGATTTTCGAGTGTTTTGATGTACTTTTTTTTTTTATCGTAAAATAAAAAAACCCCTCCCTTTGTTCCAATATGAAAACCCCAGAAAAGTACCAAGAACGGGTTGAAAATTTAAAATTTTGTCGTTTCCCTTCTTAGTCACAAAAAGAACCCAAAAAAATTACCATCTTTTTTCCTTTTATAAAAATGTTTTTTTACTTATTGAAAATTTTTGCCCCTTTATTCGAGGAATTTTTTAGCTTTGTGTAATTGGGAAAATTTTTTTCGTTGCAATTTCAATTTATTTTGTTAGTTTGTGCGCTTATGATTACTAAAGTCTATAGACAACTTGCAGTAACTTTAAAATTTAAAATTTACATGAAACGTTTTGCATTAGTTTTTAAAAAATAAAACTTTTTAAAAATATAAAAAATGTATTTTATTTTCGTACGGGCCCTTTTGGGCTTAACAAAAAAGGACAAAAAAAAAACAAAAAACAAGACGTAGTCTATACAAATTTTAAAACCTTTTTTTTAAAAAAAAAAACCCAAAAATAATTTTTTATAAATTCTTATTCTTTGCTGCGCAATTTTATATCGTAAATTTAAAAAAATCTAAATTTAAAAATGATTTTCAACTTCCAAAACCAAAAGTAAGTTGTTTTTTCATCTTTTTTACAATTAAATTTTAAAATTAAAAAAAAAAAAAAACTTTTTGAAAAAATTTTAAAATAAAAAGTTTTTTGTCTGATAGGTTTTTTCGAAAAAACAAAAACTGAAGTAAAAAAAAGATCCTTAAAAAAAAAAATATGAGGGGTTGGTTTTTAAAAAAGACTTAGGGGGCGATTGAGCTAATTATGTAATTCATTGTGAGAGAAAGTAAAGATTTCACTCATATACAACGGTGCCAGATGGTTTAAAGTTTTATACACCATAATTGCTGTGTGGAATTTCAATATAAAAAGGTAGCACGATCTATAAAAATTTTCTCTGAAATATTTAATTGATTCTTTTAAATTCAGAGTAGGTAAACACAAAATTTGAAGGCATCCATCCAGTGAAATTCTAAATAATAGCATATAATGTACATGTCCCATGCAGTAAATGACTGTGTCACTTGATATAGCACCTATATGTAGCCATTGCTGTATCTTTCTCACCCTTGTAATGTGTCATAATTGTAGTAATTACCTTTATAATTATAATATCATTGAATGAAATAAAAATGAATTCAGTGACGATGCGACCATGCCTATGAAGTCAGGCCTGCACACGCACACACAAACACACGCGCGCGCACAACAAACACTGTCAAAAAGACACACGCACGCACGCACGCACGTACACTAAACAACTAACTAACTAATAATCATAGATTGATATGCTATAAATTAAATCATTTTATATGGCGGAAAGTTAAAAATTATTGAAGTGTAGATGGATTTCGTAAGCATGGGGTCTATTAGAAAGTACCATGAATTAATAAACGGTTGATGACGTTACTCTATTATTGTTGAAGACATTCAAACTTAAATACCCCGTATCTTTAAAAGAAAAGTATTTTGAAAGGTATTTTTTTAAAGGTGTGGTTTGGAATATCTTATGACAAAATGATGACATTTACGAATTGTATCTTAAAATGATTTATATTTATGAAAAACGTAGGTTTATGTGACTTAAACATGCCGCATCTCATCGGAAAGTGTAGTTATTTTCAATCAAAATTCACGTAAAGCTTGCACAAGGCCAGAAATTTGTTAATGTTAACTATGAATCCATAACATTGATTTACTCAAACACATTCGGGATATGTTAAAAATAGATAAATACTTACCGTCCGCCATTAATGTATTTTATACCGACATGTATATGTATATGAGACTGTCGACGCGTTAAACGGTTGTCTACCCATTTGATACTATATGAATCAAATATGCATATGTCGTAATATAATGAATACAAATGCTTAAATTAAATAAAAACGTATTGTCAAAACATTAATTAAAAGTTTGTCTGCTGATCATGTTTATAAATATAAACTGTCATCTATTTGCCATGATCAGCTTTTATCATTTTAATTATTAATGATAAATGCAAAACAAAATTAAAATTCATTTTGCTGTCCTGTGCATTGAATCAAGTCTTTTAAAATTACTTAAATACTTTTATCCCCATATTAAACTTAGATATTTATTAGTTCAAAATTCATAATCTGTCCTGTTGTAACTCCCCGCTTCAAAACATAAACCTTCCCCTATAATTTTAATTGACGAAATACCAGCCAATGAAAATATAAATCGATCGTTTATTGGATGCTTTTAACTCGCTTTTTGTGTAATTTTAGGTAGTAATTTTTGTCTATTCTAAGTATTCAGATTAAACTGTTTCAATAAAATCAAAACATCTTGTAGCTTTTTTTGTACTTAGCCAAAAGTGATCATTCCTTTTAAATTAAAATGTGAGAATTGCTTAAACCGGATCCTTAGTGAAAGTTACTGGAATAAAAAACTTGGGAAAAGTTGTAAACAAATGACACATTTAATTGAACCATCGCATGAATGCTTTCTTGTTGAATATATGAGAACAATATTAAAACACCTAATAAATAACTGATATATTAATAACTACCCAAGTAGAACATTTCATACAGTAATGTTACGATCGATATTAAAGAAAACTTACAGGCGCAATAATTCGATTTTTGTAAAACATGTTCGACTAAGTATTTTAGAAATGTTAGACCTGTAATCGTAAAACAAAAGTTTAAGAGAATCACTTAAATAAATAAAAAAAAAACACACGTAAAAATAAATCCGACTTAATGTCAACAGTTTGGCATTTTGAACTTTCGGTTTATACAACCATGGTAATAAGAATATAATGTACTGTCTATGAATTTACTTATTTTAGGTGGACTCTTACTTGATATATTGGTTTTAAAAAACTTGTCAACAACTCACAGCATTAAATTGCTATTTGTTTATATGTTTATATGGTAGGTTAGACCGAAATACCGTATCCGTTCTGTGCATTCTTTCTATTGTGTTCGAGGTCCTTATTCGAAGACTGACGGAAAGGGCTGAAAAGTTGCGATTGTCATCTAGCCATTAGTAAGTACATTACAGTAATTATCAAAATTTTCTGATTCAAGTCATAACCGTAATTTATAATGAAAAATAAACAAAATAAACAAAATCATTAATAAATATTAAATCTGTTAATTAAAATTAAATACTATCGATGACAAAATCATTTAAAATTTAAAATTTAGAATTATATATAAATACTGACATTTAATTCGGATGTATTGTGTTGTAGTGTTGTATTCTCCCAATATAAACTGGTGCTTTATCTTTTGGAAATATATTTAAATTTAAAATCACCTTAATCTCAAATTAATACTGTAGCAGTATGTCAAACATGGGACTTTTCTCTAAGTGACATTTTGGTGTTGAATTACCGTTACAAACCATTTTTATTAGACAATATGTTCAATGAAGTACATCATGAAAACAAAGTGTTTTAATTCATTGTTAACCTTTGATTACCAAACAGAATGGTTGAAATTTATGATATCAATATATCTTGAGAGAAAAAAATCAGAGATGACCGAACAAATTTCTGGAAAACTGGAACTACTTTTTGCTCATCTTTCTATTAACAATGTGAGAGACATAAAACCTTTACTAATGGATGCAATTGATGAGTACCAAAGTATGAGATCAAATCTAACGTATGATCAGAAACAAACGGTAAATTTAATAAAGTCACTACTTTACCATGCTGAAAGAGAGGAATGGCATCAGGCCAGAAATCAGCTAAATGGTGCACAGAAAGCATACCAGGAATATATGAATAACAGGACGAAATTACAAGGACATAGTCAGGTATGCATATGAATAAATCAATGAATAATAATGTATGTTTACTGCAATAATATTTTCATATATTTCTTATTTGCATTCAGAAAAAGCTATGATTCTTTGTTTGAAAGGAGGCACAAAAAACTGTGTAACGTCTTTTTTATATCTTGACAGAAATTAGGATATGCACAAATACATGGGAAACAAAAAGAAGTAATTGAAAGTAGTCAACTTGCGCTGCCATGGAGTGAAGGTTCTCCAGATAGGTACCTTTTTCAAGACCAGGATATCCAAGCAGGAAAAACAGAGACAGGCTCTTCAAAAGTATCAATATTGAAAGAGAACGTAATGTCAAACACTTTACAATCGCCCATTTCAATGCGACATGTGGGAAGGAGATCAGACACAACTGGTGACGACGAGCAAGGCCCGGACAAAAAGACAACTTTTCTCAATAAATCACTTACCAATCGGCATCCTAGTGCATATCCAGGCAGCTATTCAAGTCAGATTCATGAAAAACCTAAAACTCTACAGGAAGCTCTTGAATCAGCAACCGAACGGTAAAAACATAAGGTTGTTTTAACTTTTTATTTGCAAAACTTATAAGCGTATAATCTAACTCCTTTTCCCGGAGTATTTATACTATACATGCGTCCGATATTTAGATCGGAAATCTATCACATTATTATCACATATGAAAACGATATGTAGTATTCAAATATGTAGTACATGAGTATATGAGTAGGCATAATTTATACTTAACATTGAATTTTAAAGGCGGTTAAAAAAAGATTCTTAATCCAAATTGCAGTATATTTGTTAGATGCTCATTTTTATATTTTATATTGTCTAATTCTCTTTTTAGATTTATTTTCTTATTCAATTATTTTAAAGGAAATATGATAGTGATGAGAACAACGCTAATTCATACAGATTTGATCCGAATCGACCTTCACGAATTGTTGAGGCATATCAGTCTTTGTACGATAATGAATGGCAGCAAGCCTTAACGGCAATAAAACGTGCAGCTGTGATAGAAGAAACGGCTATTGAATGTTTACTTTACATTCTAGTGGTATAGTAATTTATAATAATTTCATTTCTCTTTTTTTTATTTTTATCATGCAGTTATATAAACATCGGTATCGCTATGTCTAATAATTTCATTTCTCTTTAATATTTTATGATACAGTTATATAAACATCGGTATCGTTATGTCTAATAATTTCATTTCTCTTTTTTATTTTTACCATACATTTATATAAACATCGTTATCGTTATGTCTAATAATTTCATTTCTCTTTAAATTTTCACCATATAGTTATATAAAAATCGGTATCGTTACGTCTAATAATTTCATTTCTCTTTAATATTTTATGATACAGTTATGTGGGTTTTGTCATGGCGTGGCTCATTTCTATTGTTTAGGAAGCCTATAAAGAATGTTTAGATGAGGCAGAAGGACAAATATTACAGTTTGAACATGCTGTGCTCAACATAGTTTCAGATGGGAAATACACAAAGGTTTAATTGACTTACTCATAATTTATACAGCCATTGTAGAATTTTTGCTGTCTTTCCAATTAGATTATCCCCCTTTATTCACTGAGGCAAACGATAGCAATTCTTTATTTCGTTGATATTTTAAGGTAGAACCAAAAAGGATAAATATTTAAGTGTGTATTTCTAGGCGAGCGTGTGCATGCGGATAAAAATCTTTGTCTTTTATTGTTTTTATTTTATTTAAAAACGATATACATGTAAATATTGTTTCATTGTTTTCTTAAAAGTAATGTATAAAAATTTTATACCGATATTAAAAAAAAAGATTAATGTCTTTCATTGATGAAAGTTACGAAAAATCATGATGATCATGATTATCATGTAGAAGATTATCCGTTAATAATTAATTTACAGTTTGATAAAGATGTTTTCAACAAAACTGGAAACAGAAAACACATGTTGCAGTATCGAAAAGAAATATCTGACCTGTCAGTAAAACGGTTACAAGATGTGAGTACTAAAATATCGTTATCAAACCACATATTTCAACCAACAACATTACAGACATCTATCAATCACTGTTCGCTATAACTCCATTTGGTAAAACAATATTGAAATGCGATAATAAAGTTGGTCCATGTTTAAAAGTTTCATGTAATAACTTATCATATTACAATCATTCATTGTGGTTTGTGTTTAAAATACATGAGAGATATAAAAGATTAAAAGCCTGTTTGTATGTGTGGTCATTTTATCTTTATCCTTTTTCAGACCTTCCTATTAAAGACGTTACCAGTGATACACAGGCGGTACGGCGTGAGAAAGGATGACAACGTAGACAACTACAGTCGCCAGTGTGTTGTTTTCACGTGGAGAATGGCGATACAAGATCCACCTTTACATTTTGACAATTTTGACCCTACCACTAATATTGACTTTGACCATAGTTTATATAAACCTTTCTCCAAATCTGGACGTTTCATTAGGTACTTAATATGGCCAGTGTTGAGACTTTACAAGGATGGACCTGTTTTATGCAAAGGAATCGCTCAAGGCGAATAAGGATATATGTCACGAGAATGTCGAGTGTATTATAACATTTAATGAAAATGTGATATTTTATTAATCGTATATTTTTGTAACTTAATTGAAAATGCTTAGTAACAGTCTGAAAAAGAATTTGTTTTATACTTTATGGAAAAATACATATATAATTTACCCATTCTATCTTGACAAATTGTACCTTTGTAACATTACGACTATTATTGCATGGCGAATATTTCTAAGTGTTCGTCACTAAGTACAATTGTGCAAAAAACGTCGATTTTCAAGACGCATATGTTATACCACTTTATCAATCTTTTCGTTCTAAACAAGCATTCTTCATAATTAATTTGTTGTATTTATACATGCGTAATCGAAATAAAAGTTATAGATATGTTCAGATCATCGGTATTTTCTGTACCTACATATCAGAAGTCAGTGTCATACATCATCTTCACACCTTTAAATGTTTGTAATAGGTAGATACTTAATTTACTCGATTAAAGTCAAAAGAAGCAATACTTAAAGTCTGTCATTGAGTTATTGTTAAGGCTGCCACAGTTGGGTCATTTCTAAGTTATCAAAAGGTGGCATAACCAGTGTTTGAGACACAGAGAAAGGCTGATAATTGGCAATGGAAAGAGAAAAAAATATATATAACCCGGCCCTGATTAACCCAAAACAAAATAGCACTTCAGCTGGTTATACAGTCACTTGGTGGTTTTATAAGAACACTGTATCCGACAGTGGCACAGTTTTATAAACAAGAAATCGACAGGGTCCATCTTATAAAAGAGAGAGTCACCTCTTTGAGTTCACGAGCACGAGTTGTAGAAAAGATACAATATATTCTTATACAATGTGCCTTAAACATCTTACCTGAGTCGATGTGACATTTGTTAAACGACGATGACCTTGGTTATATAGAGTTTCTTATTATAAATCAACTGTCTGAAAATCAATCAAATCTACTTTGACTTAACTTGACAAAACGAGTACGCATAATACTCGTATTTTTAAAAACGTAACTTGACTCCACTAAAGACTAGAATGCAGTCTAAGGCATTGTCTTTTAGCAATAACTGTGAAGTAAGTCTGTTATTAAACCATTTAAAAGGTCAGAGTATATCAAAATAAGCTATCTAATTACCTGATTAAATTGCAAGTAAGCAAAAAGTCTACATAACTTTAGTTGAATCAAACGCATGCAATCTAGGTCGTTTGGTAAAATCAAGAGTTCTTTATGAAATGTAGATTGAATAATAGATTTTTTCATAAAAAATTTAGACTGAAATTATTGCTGTAGTCATGGAGAATGAAACGTGCATGGAATATTTATTTCATAGTATAGAAAGCAATCATGCAAATAATATCAACCAAGATATATTATTCAATGCGTCAAATGAGTTTCGCAATGTATGGAATCTCGTAAAAAAGTTGCGGGATCTAGCACGTGTGGATGTAAAGAAAATTACGAATTTCCTAGATGCAGTTCAGGACGGTTTAGAAAATGGTACTTGGAGTGCGGCGATCAGAATCTGTTTGCAGGCTGATAATGAATACAGACACATTAGGCGCTATATCCGACCATCATTTCTTGATGACTTTAAAGTAAGTTATTAGCTATAAACTGTATACATCTAACCCATGTATAAAAATAACTAATGTTAGATGAAGGCATTTTGGATTTAAATGAGAAAATTCATTTGCTGAAAGAATATAAAATAGAAATGAAACTCAAAAACAAAATAATTCTCAGAGTAATATATAGATTGCAAATCTTGTAAAGAGGTAAAAAGTATCACATATAAATCATTTGCAGGTTTCACTATTCATAGAAGATGCACACCATGGCAAATGCTCGGCAACAAAACGAGAAAAAAAACATGCTACTGCTTCCACCACTAATGGTATTCGTAAACAAAACTTTCGAAACAAACAGATAAATAAACAAAATCCTTTGACTAATCATGCAGGAGGGCATGTTGAAAATGAGCACAGTGAAAAGAAAACGGCTTTAAAGAAAGAGAAGGCAGAAGAATTAAAGGATAAGCCAACCGCAAATAAAATTAAAAGCAATGAGACGGAATCGGCAAATATGAATTCAAAACCTGGCGATGGAAAAACTATCGAGGCTAAAAAAGACAAAGGGAACGTTAAAAATAACAAAAGTAAAAGAGATGATTCAGACGAAACTTCCAGTCGATGCGGACCTAAGTCTGTGAATCATAAATCAGACTCATCAGAAACAGATTGTCCTAAAAGTTTAGAAAATGATGATAACACTGAGCATAGTCAAGCAAAAGACAAAGAAAATATAGTTTTGAATAAATCAGATAGAAATATTTTTAACAGAGAAGATGGCGATGGTAGCGACAGTAAATTCCAAAAAGAAAATAAAAATAAAGGTGCGTCAGACAATAATGATATTTTTAAAGAGATAAATCAAGAAGATAAGACTGCAGATACAGCTAGTCATACTGACGAATCTGGCTTTAAATTGGCAGAACCAGACAAAGAAACAAATGAAAGTAAAGATACTAAAGGACAGAAAGATGAAAATGATTTCGTCGCGAACGAAATTTCAGAGAAACACAGTGGTAGTACCAATGCGCAAGAACTTAATGCATCAACAGGAGTGAAATTGGAAAATGATAGTAAAAGCAAAGAGAAAACTGACAATAGAGAAGACGACATGCCTTACACAATAGAATCTACAAAGATGTAAGTATCGTTCACATTTTCCATGACATTGTTAACTCGTCAATATTATTTCAGCAGCTTTTAGTTATAAACCTTTAATAGCTGTCAATCATATTTATGCATTTGAAGTTCTGATGAAACATGTAGGTCCTTATTCATTTTTCACATTTAGCTATGTACAACACGTAAGATCTTGTAATCCGCAGACACATGTTATCCAGAATTGATCAACATAACAGAATTTTGCGTAGAATTGAAATATAAAAATAAAATCTATTTCAGAGTAAGGGAGCAGATGACTCGTATAAGCTTCAAATGCAAACAAGATGAAATAATAACAGAGCTAAATCATGTATATGACACAGACTGGAATCATGCTTACACGGCACTGACTGGATGCAAACCTTCTAATGGCATTAAAAACACCATTGACTTCCTCGGTGAAATTCTGAAGGTAGACTTATTTATTAATAATATTGAGCATTAAAGTATGAATATAGATGGAAATGTTTATTACTCTGCACAATTCATGAAGATCATTAGTTTTACTTAGTATTCAATAATGATAAACTGGCAGAATTGTATCATTCTTCTAACATGTTATATCAAATAACTTTCTATAGAAAAGTTATATTAACAATAATTTCATTTACAAATTAAATTGCCAGTTTGTGATAAAAAAGACATATCTTCAATCAGTCGTCATCATGGTTGGTTTGTCTATAATACTTATCTCACTTTATTTCTCTAACACAGGCAGATGTATCATAATATATATCATAATTCGTTGTTTCTTGTATCTCTGAAATAGAAATGTTTAAAATAGTATGAATATTGTGATTAATGCTCTAAAAATAATTATGCCTATACATGTATGTAAAACAGATATCAGCAAGTGATGTGAGAAAAGCTATTGAGACGACGGTAGCTTTAACAGATGATACAGTATCAATTCAGGAGAAATTACAGAAATTAAAGACGGTAAAATATTATTATGATTTCTAGTACACGTTCCTGAAGAAAATCTTCACCCAAACTTAGTACTTTATGAATAATTTACACAACAGAAAAAGTGTTTTACTTTTTTCTTTTACAGTAAATTGATGTGAATGGCTCGTAAACTACTTCTATAGTGTTAATTTCTTGTTCTTCTATAGTGTTAATTTCTTGTTCTAACATGAAACTATATGCCATTATTTCTTTATACTCATTTTATACATATCGAACTTTGAAAAACAGAATCGTCTGGACCTTGACAAACGATTCTCATTTTAGAGTAATGATTATTTTCGAAACTGAATAAATGATAACAGAAAATTCATGTATGCTGTATATGTTTTAGGAATTTTTGTCACGACATCTAAAGGAGCTACAGAAGGAACACAGCATTGTGTACCATAATGGAATGGACGATGAAAATGTCGTCAATCTATACTCGGCCAAGTGTGTGGAACTGTCGTGGTTCATGCTCACGCGAAGTCCACCGATGGTGTTTGACTATGATTCAAGACCTATGTTGCTTGAAGATCTTTTAGAAATATTTAAGCCATACAAGAATGAAGGCCATTGTATACACTATATTGTGTGGCCTGCAATAAGGCGTTCTAAACATGATGCAGTTGTTGCACAGGGTATAGCCGAATTCAGATAGTGACCATAGAAGTAACTCTTATAATCACAGTTTTTACTAAATTGATAACAAATTTGAAGTAAGATAACAATTTATATATAGTTGATTCCAAGTGGAATTGACAAACATCAATATAACATTTTACTAAAATTGAACGGACAACCATCTATATAACATTTTACTGAAATAGAACAGATATAACATTTTTGAGAACGGCGGAGGAGAATGATATTTAAATATTTGTGCTTTTTGCTGATAGTGTATTCTGGTCGCTTGTTGTTGTTGTTGTTGTTGTTGTTGTTGTTGTTTTATATAACGTCTGCTTTTGTTTTCAGAAAGTTTTAATCTTATGTTCTTGTAGAACACTTTATGTAATGTTTCTGTTCTCGCCAGTGTGAGTTATAAACCATTGTTATAATACTAAAATATCTAAAAAGGCACATGACTATCTTATCACATTTTAAATTGTATTTTATAAGTCAAGAAGTGGAAATGGCTCCTGACATCACATATTAGTTGTATATTCATTAGATGACGTTATGCCCTTTCTGTGTTTCATGTCACCATTTGAATTGTCAAATTGCCGGAAATCATAGTTAACAAAATTTAATTGTTATGTCTAATAATAGTGTAATATGCAGTTATATCTTGAACGCTGTACAATGCTCTAAAGTGTGCAGGAGCGGAGAAAAATAGCGTCTCATATGTCATGTAAATAGATGTTTTAGCACTATTTCAACGTTATCGTTTATATTAAAGGAAATCATTTAGCTTATACAAATTGATGGTTAACTTTTAGACATACACAAAGACATGTTTAGCCACTAGTTATATTTGATTAAATCGGCATTTGAGTTATATAGAACGTTGAGCAAAGTAATAATCTACCATTTTTTCAAGTAACCTACACATCTATTATTACTGCTTTGATTCATATGAAATACGAGCGTTCTCACAGAAATTTGAAGACTGAATTCATACTTTTCTATGAACTATTCGTTTATATAGTCAACAAGTGCAATAACATCTTAATATAATTCAAAAATTAGAACATTAAAAGAGTAAACGGTTACAAAATCCTGCTCATTTTGCTATCACTACAAATCAACACATTCACTAGTGGCCTCCACGTCAGCATATAATTTAAACGAATTGCATAATAGCGACAAATTAATCAAGTATCTTCATGCCTTGTTACCAATTAGTGCATTATATCATACCAAATTTCACTCATTTTGTGATTATACGAGTACTGTTTGCCGCCTCTTAAAACTTTTAATCTCGTCATTCATGAGATTTTGCGGAACTTTCTAAGCGAAGACCTGATATACGAAACAAATTATTCAATTACATTATTGCATTTTTGAAACACTAAAACCAAATGTGTATTTTAGTAAGCAGTTTTTACTTATAAGATATAAGTTTACAAAAAGATCGTTTTATGCGGATGGTCTACTTTAATTTAAAAATATTGTCGTCTAAATAGTTTTGTTATAATTCTAATGTGACCATCAGTACTTTTCCTTCAGTTTCTCTCCCTTCTCCCCTTTTGCTTTGCTTTGTTTGGTTATTTTAGCGTTTCTGTTGATGATTTTTCTAAGGCATTACAAAACTTGATATTCACATGGTTTGTTCCCGTAAATGAAGTCCCGTTTGCGGGGGACATTCAACTCAGCAGTGTGGGGGGGGAGTTGATGTCGGAAACAAAGAAGATCGTGTCTACATTTGGTAAAGACTTTTATATTGAGACATGTAACAAATGAGTCGCACGCCACTTTAACAGAAAGTGTGTTCGCACTGGCCGATACTACGCATAGTAGGTGCGTAGGCGACGTCATTTATAAATGACGTAAGTTCAGTTTTTGTGCACCGGGTTTCAGACAGTGATGTTAGTACTTTGTATGCAGATCTATAAATGTTAAATGTATTTCTACGAAAATCAACGATAAGCCGTGTTAAACGTAGATATATGCACGTTTTTGTTTTTATTGTGAACGGGTTGGAAACGTGTTGCTATGATTATGTTAACGCTTATTTTCTGATAACCGGATCATATTGTATGACATTTATCACAATATTATCAAAACTAATTGATTATAAATATATCTTTAAAGAGATGATAGCAATTTCAAAAAGCAGACTCTCTCCGAAAATCTCGGACAAACCTCGTAATATTATGTAATATCATATTATATTATAATACATGTATGTCACAAAGCAAGCCTGCAAGTCCATTTAAATTAATTGACCATTTTCTGTACTGCTGCTAATCTGTAACAAGAGGCGTTTTAAAAATTAACAATTGTCAATAACCAGAACAATGACTTAAACATTATATCAATAAGAAAATGGTTGAGAAATATCTTAATACAATGTACAATGTTAAATGAGCCTTGTCGAAAGTATTTCTTTCGTTTGTATTAAGTGTATGTCGCCCGATCTATTTTCACTCTTATCAAGTCTTACATGTTAAAATTAAAGTAATGAACAAATCGATTGATTTTTAAAAATTGATTGATTTTACTTTTGTTTACTAATAATTGTCGTAAGTAAACGAGTAATTATTTTGATAAATTCAAAATGGCGGAAAAGACTGCGTTGGATATGGTATTTCTGTATGTTTTCACCGAGAGATACCATCTTATTACTGTGGATCTGGTTTATCTAGCTTCTGGTGAATGGCAGCATGTTTGGAAGTACGTTAAACCATTAAAACACGAAACATACGTTGATGAGAGTAAAATAACTAAGTTTTTAGAAGCAACTGCAGATTCTTTGCAATCTAAAAGTTGGTACTATACAAAGCGTGTCGGTATAGAAGCAGAGGCACAATACAACAAACTGAGAAAATTGGTTTCTATAGCAATTATCAAGCCTTTTTTGGTAAGCAATATTTCATCAAAATATGTTTTCATATTTTGTATTGGGTATTTTATGTTCTTATTAACGATTGTGTATGCATGTAGAAAATGGTAGATAAGATAATGTAGATTTATATATGTTGCTGATTTTCATTAGTTAGCGTACTACACATATATTGTTAGTCCTACAAAAATATATAGTTCATCATAGAAAGATGTAAATGCATTTTAAAAAAATGCCTTGGCTGGGAACATGGGCTTACAAACGATATAAAAGCGTTCTACACCTAGACCTCTGAGTAAATATCCCCGGACGCAGTGGACTCAGACATCACACCGTTAATAAAGAAGGTGGGTGTATACTCATCCGTTACACAACACCTCTTCAGATGATAGCATTACTTATTTCCAAGCGATAAACCATTCATTTCGGTTATAAATCAGAAACCATTTCATTTTATAAACAAATTCCAGAGCCAGACACCTCGGACTAGCCCCATATTACCAGATATAGACCTAAGAAAGATGCAGATGCATCCCGCATTGGCACAGATATGCTCCCAGTGGACAACATTAATTGTTGTCACATTTTTATTTTAGTTCAAGAATAATCAAGATACAAAACCAGAGACAAAGATTCCAAAACTAAATTTCCACCAGTCTCAGCAGCTTGGTGTGAAATTATTGGAGCCCCAGAAGTTTAAAGACGCTGGTCATAGTACGTCACGCAAACCAAATGACGTCAGAGGAACTTCGAAATATAGCAGTAGAACATCGATGGACAATATGTCAGCCTATACTGACCGGAACACTATGTTAGTATTGTAGAAATAAGATAAAAATAAATGCAATACTAAACAATAAACAATACGATTATTCTTATGTCATTTAGCGAAATATCCCACTTTCCTTGTAACGTTTTGCGAATTCGTTGATTCATTATTATTTCCATACGATGACATATCTTTTAATTTTAATTTCTAAAACTTGATTAACATGTTATCATAATGCCAAAACAATAAAATCACTTGGCATAAGTCAGCACTTTGTAGTAAAAATGGTAATTAAAATTTCAGATTAAACGAGAAAATGACAAGGCTTCGTGAGTTTTGCAGTCCAAAAGAGATTGTCGAAGAGTTAGCAAGTGTTTTTAAAACAGACTGGCGGGCAGCATTTGAGCATTGTCGAATTTCTAATGATAAAGGCGACACCATCAGCTTCCTCAGACGTATCTTACAAGTATGTGCAATCATGATTTCTATCTAATGAATTTGATTATCAATAAAAATTGTGTAGAAAATGATGTAACATGTAATGAGACTATTTATTCAATCAGTTTATTGTTATGTTGTCGTTAACATTTTTAATGCTGTAAAGCATATTTCATGTAAATCACGTGCATCTCAATATAAATATTATATTTCTGTTAGGACATTTGTCAATTAAATATTTTGTACATTTTAAGGTATCATATGAGCAGGTTTGCTGGCCAATTGCCGAGTCACAATTAGTTCTAATGCAACGAGAAGCTTTGAAGATTGTGAGTGGATCAAATGTAAGTATATAAATCATTATGTTGAGTGGATTAGATATAAGTGCACAAATCAATATTTCGAGTTGATCAAAAATAATGTAGGTGCATAAATCAATACATTGAGTGGCATAAATCGATCATTTGTTGGTATATGAATCATTATATTGACCGGACCAAATGTAAGTGCATAAATTAATACGTTTTCCATGATATTAACCTCAACCTGACACAATGACACAATTTCTGCATAACCTGACTGACCTACATGACATAATTAATGGGTTTACACGGTGTGTAAATCAATCGACCAATCAAATAACCTGATTAAAATATCTACAGACCGGGTCGCGCATTATTAAAATCCATGAGTATGACTAGAATGGACTGGTATCAATATCATTAATTACGGAATAGATTTTTTTTTCACTTTCGTATAAATTCCTTCAAGATCTTAAATAAAAGTTGTCCTCTGTGATTACGTGTATTATTAGAAATTGTTCTCATGTCTATGTATATTACATACTGAGATATATTTAATAAAACTTGAAACTTGAAACTTGAATACATTCTGTGTATCAAATATAGGTGCATGAATAAAAACATTGAGTGGATCAAATATAGGTGCAAAAATCAATACATTGATTGGATCATATGTAAGTGCATAAATCCATATTTCCAGTGGATCAAGCATACATAAATTTGTGGATCAATATATGAATTTTGCAGGAAAAAATGTATATCAAACTCGAAGAGAAGAATTAAACGTACATAAGCAACTTTATTTCTTGATGTAAACAAATGCAAATACTTTTACATTATGAGATTGACACAATACCTAAAGTTAGTATTTAAGATGTACTTAGTTTTATTGACAAATGAGCCGTGTCATGACAAAACCAACATAATGGGTTTGCGACCAGCATGGATCCAGACCAGCCTGCGCATGCGCGCAGTCTGATCAGGATCCATGCTGTTCGCTATCAGTTTCTCACTTGTTATAGGGTTTGTAAGCGAACAGCATGGATCCTGATCAGACTGCGCGGATGCGCAGGCTGGTCTGGATCCATGCTGGTCGCAAAACCATTATGTTGGTTTTGTCGTGACACGGCTCAAATGTATGTGCATATTTTTTATATTTCAGAAAGTAAACGCTGAGTTTCCAGACAGTGAAATTCTGCAAGAATTCAGAAGACAGTATGCAAGTATATCTCTTAAATATTTGAAACAGGTATAGTTTGTTTTGTTTTTATCATTTTTATTTTATTCTTTTGTATTATTGCTAACGTAATAATCCGAGTTAAATTATTTTGATAGGTTGTTTTTACTGTAAAACTTCCTTATATAAATGAAAAGATTAAGTGAAGTGCTGTAGAGCAATTAGGACGATTTCCTATTAGTGTTCAAAGTTATATACTACAAATACCTAGCCACGTTAGACAAAACTTAATCTTATTAGTTGCTCTATTTTTAATTTGGAACAATCCATTTTCATTTTAATGCATTTCAATATCAAAATACTAAATATGAACTGTCAACCGTATAGAGCCTAATCAGACTGTACAATTGTGTAGGATGGCCTGGTGAAAAGGTTAATAACCTCTGGTTCAATTTATTTTTTCTTATTTATACATGTATGACCTATTTATGTCCGATCTGTGGTAATCTTTGACCTTGCGGTCAGCGAACCTTTAATTAGTAAGTTAATCATTTGAACTACTTCAGGAATTCTTTTTTTTTTTCAGAATTTTTTCGAGAAACATATGAAGACCCTGTTGAAAAGACATAACATAATTTATAAAAATGTCCCAATCGATGAAGAAAATGTTGACGTTTATACCGCAAAGTGCATAGAGATCTCGTGGTTCATGTGTGTACAAAATCCACCAATGGTGTTCCAGTTTGAAGTGAATAACGAGGAAGAACTAAGATACCTCTTCCGGAACTTTCAGGAACACGGTCATCAGCACGAGTATATTGTTTGGCCCGCCGTTAGACTTTTTAAACATGGTAAAGTCTTGGAGAAAGGTTATGCTATGTTTTACTGAACAGTTATGGAACAAGGATTATAATTCTTTATTAAGTAAAACCCTCTAATTTGAATTATTTCGAAACTGTATGAGGAAAAAGTTAATCAACATGATTGTGTGATAAATACACGTGCTAAATGGGAATCGAACCAAGGTCATTCGGAAAAGAAACACACTTCTATGTTTTGGTTTTTTCCGATAAAATTTTGATAAGATTAGAAAAGGTCTTTTAAGAACTACTATATTATCATAATTTTTATTTGGGTCTCATCCATACATAACAACACACAAACTACCAAGTAAATATAAAAAAGAAAGTAGAACAACACGTCAAAACCCCGGAGTATGTTTAAAGATCCTGTAACACAATTTTTTATGGTTTTATATCATAAATACGATGCTCAAATTAAGATTTATCAATTTTGTAGGTTCCAAATAGCATTATTTATGAAGATATTACCGAATTTAACATTTCATGTAAAGAAATGGAGGTAACAAAAAAAATTGTTTTGTATTAAGTCCAAGTCAATTTTTTCCATAAGAAATGAATGCATATATCTTTAAATGATTACGTATAATATGTACAAATATTCGCAGTGCATATTTTACATATTATTCGATGTTTGAAAATTGATTATAAGCATAATTATATACATACATGTATAATATAAATTCACTAAAGTGTGGTATACAACCTCAATTAAAACATACAGGATCTTTAAGACACTTTATTTATCGACCGGTTTCTGTCAAACAATGGCCTTCATCAGGATAGTACAATTTCAATATAAAAATTCACCCTAAGGTATGAAATAATTCAATTACATAGATTTACAAAATAAAAGTTGTTTGTATACGGCCATTCTGAACTACAAAAGACAGTGGAAGGGAGGCAACTCCAAGTCCATAATGCAAGGATTTTCAATATGCAGTGCAGAGTAACCTCTCTTCCCATACCATAATTATTGACATATTACAATTAGATTAAGAAACTATTGCTAATTTTGTTTTGAAGAAACTTCTAGTAATATTGCTTTGTAATGGACACCTGACCAATATTCTCTAATTTTAAACAAGTATCATGAAAAATACTTGAATAGTAAAGCCACAGATTCTTCATCTGTAAAATCATTTACTAGATAAAATTATTATACATCACTGAAAAGAAAAAAAAGAAACTTGCGAATCGACACCAATAATGTGTTTATCAAAGAAAGGTTTCCATCCCATATCAATTACCATTACATTACACTCAATCTGCCTCTATTTTCTAATCCCATGAGGGAAAAAACACATTACTGTGAAATGTCATAAAATGCCTTCTTTTATACTACTAGTACAGAAAACATATAAAAACTTATATATGTTAATGCATGAGCAAATTTTTGCACAGTAAACTTTGTCAGCAGTCCCTGTCAGTTTATTAAGTTTCGCTAAATATTCGTATGTTGACATGTATTTTAAATCACAAAAAAACTCTTTGTTTAATTATTTAATTAGTATCTGATTTACTTAATTAATAAGAAGAAAAATGTTTATGTTTGTTATATCTATATTATTATTTCTATAAATAAATTTGTGTTAAATGTGCTCAACCAAATTCTTTCAATCCGGCACATGACGTTACAATGATACCAAAATATACTCAAATATTCAAATATATGACATTGCAACTTCTTGATATAAAACTTACATTGCCATAAAATGTAAAAAAAAACCTTCTGTCAAAATTTCGAAAAAAACAACACTAAAAACGAATGTTCAATTGTAAGTTTTAAACATGGCATGGTGAAAGTACTATGTGCTGTTGTTAGCCATTTATTTTGATCAATATTACACTTACTGTAATCAAATTTCACCCCTTAATTAATGAAAAGTGTATTATATTCTCAGACTCATTTTCTTTTTTATGATATATTAAGAAATCGAAAAAGCAAAAAAGTCGTTTGACGCTGCAGCAAACGAATCTCTTTTAATGCCATAGATTGATTGTAAGTTTCACTTTTCACTGATAATAAACCTTTCATGAATGTTTACAGTTTTTCTAGAAAAAAAATGAAAATAATCATGGGACAATTTTAATATAATAACTAAAGTGACACAACTGCAGAAGTGACTCTTATTTAGCATTTAAGTAGTTTCACTATTGATGCAATAATCAGTGTTTCTTATAATACGCCTTTACAAATTCTTATGTGCAAATATTTCTGAGAAATAGTAAAAATAAGAAATCGTGAATAAGAAAGATTAGTAGTTAGATGATTTATATTTGGCCTGCTCAACGCACACCTTTAGCATTATTGGTCAGATGTGCTACTTCCGGTGATAAAGCTTATAAAAAATCCAATGTAGGTTGTTCTATTTTCTGATAATTTAGATCATTAGATCATTTGATTATTAAATATTTTCAAAACTGAAAACCTTGCTACTAGAATACGTGTATGTTTTGATCCTTAACTCATTAGAACATATTTTGAGAGAGTAAGAATTCAAAATAATTCGCAATCCCTCGTTATTCAGAGAATCATTCTTTGTATCTGCTTATGTATATCTAATATAATAATCATGGACGGTAGGTTTTATTGGATGCCAGACATTTCGACACTTCGATCATGGATTATGTCATATGAATAATTTAAGTTTTAAGAAATTGTAAAACATGCATTCGATAAATATGATGTTTTAATTTGAAATCTATATCAGTCCTTTGTCAGCTGTATTTCCTGCGTCTTATCTGTTGGTAACCGTATAGGTGAATAAAAAATAAAACGCTCGTAAGTTATTTTCATAGACTCCTTTAGAATTAGGGATAGTATGAGCACATTAAATCAGCAGGAAAATTACGTTAAAATTGTTAGTACTTACATGTGCTTTATTACTTTATTGTACTATATATATATGGTTAAACGGAGTTTGTTATTTATTTACTAGATCATTTTAATAGGGAAGTAAAAAAAGTAATGGTTTTCTTTGGAACAAAAGATAAATTTACCAAAAATATTATTTTTCATTTTTTCCAAAAAGTAATATGGGTTTTTTACACACACAAACAATCTTACAAAACCGCCCCATTTGCAGCATCAGAAAAAAAAATTCTATTTCCCGTTATTTTATTTTTTTGACACTGATGTTTAATCTCAGCAAAAAAATTTGCTGGGGTGTGCTTTGGGAGCGGGTTTTTACAATTTAAGATAAAAAAGTTTTAAAACCCTCAATGAAACAAATAAGTTATTCCCCTTTTTTCCCCTTTTGGACGTTCTTTTGGGAGAAAAGATGGGCTTTAGCAGAAGATTTGAAGAAATTTGGGAGACGGCTAAAATAAAAGACCTAGGGGGGGCCCTTCTGATGCCCCGATTAACCCCGGGGAGAGGAAAGCTCTTTTTGTGCCTTCACGTTTTACGGGCGGATGGAACCCCATCATGCAATGTTTTAAAAAAAAACTGATTAGATTTTGGCAAAATTATTTTTTTTTTGCTAAAATTATATATGTCTTTTTTTATAAAAATTCCCGTGTTTGGTAATGTTAAATCCCTTTTCAGCCCCCTTAGAAAAAACTTTAAAGGAAAACATGGATACCCTTTAAAGGGCAATCGAGTTCAGAAAAATCAACTAAATAAAAAATTATTTTGTGCATTGGGTGGGACCCCCAAATTGAGGGTAGAAACTCTGGGGATGGATAAAGGTTTAGTTAATGCAAGAGATAATTATTGTAAAGATGGCATGTGCTACTGCTGCTGCTGATTATAATGATGGCGATGGAGCTGCTGCTGGTGGTGGTGGTTGTGGTTATGACGACAGTGATGATGATGATGATGATGATGATGCCAGTAGTGGTGGTTATGAAGACAGTGGTGGTGATGATGATGATGATGCCAGTAGTGGTGGTTATGAAGACAGTGGTGGTGGTGATGATGATGATGATGCCAGTAGTGGTGGTTTATGAAGACAGTGATGATGATGATGATTGATGCCAGTAGTGGTGGTTATTGAAGACAGTGGGTGATGATGATGATTGATGGTGATGATGATGATGATGATTGATGAAAGAAGAAGAAAGAAGGAAGAAGAGGGGGAAGATTAGGACGACGATATTAATGATGGAGGCGGCAGGGTGATGATGATGACTATTATGATGATGATGAATGGTGGTGATGGTGATTGATGATAATGATGATGATGCTAGGTGATGATGATGATAATGATGAATGTGGTGATGCTGGGGGTGGTTATGACGAAGTGATGATGATGATGATGATGATGATGTGTGATGTTGATGATGATATTGATGATGATAATAATAATGATGATATTGACCTATAATTGGGACGATTTGTGAATAATACGATTGACTATAATGGTGGGGGGGATTGGTTATATTACTGATTATATTGATATGTACTTATGTTGGGTTGTGATGCATAATACTGATGGTGACGGTTAATGATGATATTGATAATAATGGAAATGATTGTAATGGTGATAGGTAATGTTATCCCTTGTTGAATATAGTAATGTATTTATTGGTTAAGTGTAATGATGGTAGTAACTGTGATGAGTGTGGCAGTTACTGTGATGTGTATTGCAGATATTGTGACGGTAATTACTTTGGTGATTGTGGTAGTTATGTTGACGGTAGTCACTTTGGTAAGTGTGGTAGTTATGATGACGGAAGTTACTTTGGTAATTGTGGTAGTTATGATGACGGTAGTCACTTTGGTGAATGTGGCAGATATGATGACGGAAGTTACTTTGATGATTGTGGTAGTTATGATGATAAGAGTCACTTTGGTGAATGTGGTAGTTATCATGACGGTAGTCACTATTGTGATTAGGGCAGAAATGATGACGGAAGTCACTTTGGTCATTGTGGCAGTTATGATGACGGTAGTTACTTTGGTGATTGTGGCAGTTAAAATGACAGTAGTTACTTTGGTGATTGGGGCAGAAATGATGACGGAAGTCACTTTAGTAATTGTGGTAGTTATCATGACGGTAGTCACTTTGGTGAATGTGGAAGTTATCATGACGGTAGTCACTAAAGTGATTGGGGCAGAAATGATGACGGAAGTCACTTTGGTCATTGTGGCAGTTATGATGACTTAAGTCACTTTGGTGATTGTTGCAGTTATGATGAGTCACTTAGGTTGATTGTGGTAGTTATGATGACAGTAGTTACTTTGGTGATATGGCAGTTATCATGAAGGTAGTACTTTGGTGACTGGGGTAGTTTTGATGACGGTAGTTACTTTGTTGATTGTGCTAGTTATGATGACGGTAGTTACTTTGGTGATTGTGGTAGTTATGATGACGGTAGTTACTTTGGTGATTGTGGCAGTTATGATGACAGTAATTACTGTGGTGAATGTGGTAGTTATGATAACGGTAGTTACTTTTGTGATTGTAGCAGTTATAATGACGACTGTATTTACTTTGGTAATTGTTGTAGTTATGATAACGGTAGTTACTTTGGTGATTATGGTAGTTATGATGACGGTAGTTACTTTGGTAATTGAGGCAGAAATGATGACAGTAATTACTTTGGTAATTGCGAAAGTTATGATGACGGTTGTTATTTTGGTGAGTGTGGCAGTTATGAAGACAATCGTTACTTTGGTGATTGTGGCAGTTATGATGATAAGAGTCACTTAGGTTGATTGTGGTAGTTATGTTGACAGTAGTTACTTTGGTGATTATGGCAGTTATCATGACTGAAGTACTTTGGTGACTGGTGTAGTTATAATGACGAAAGTCACTTTGGTAATTGTTGTTATTATGATGACGGTAGTTACTTTGGTGAATGTGCCAGTGATAATGACGGTAGTCACTTTGGTGAATGTGGTAATTATGAAAACAATAGTTACTTTGATGATTGTGGCAGTTATGATGACGGTAGTCACTTTGATTGATTGTGGTAGTTATGATGACGGTAGTCACTTTGGTTGATTGTGGTAGTTATGATGACGGTAGTCACTTTGGTAATTGAGGCAGTAATCATGACGGTAGTCACTTTGGTGATTGCGGTAGTTATGATGACAGTAGTTACTCTGGTGATTGTGACAGTTATCATGAAAATAGTAGTTTGGTGACTGAGGTAGTTATGGTGACGGTAGTCACTTTGGTGAATTGTGGCAGTTATGATGACGGTAGTCACTTTGGTGATTGTACTAGTTATGAAGACGATAGTTACTTTGGTGATTGTGGCAGTTATCATGAAGGTAGTACTTTGGTGAATGGTGATGGTAGTTGCTTTGTAGAATGTGCAGAATTGATGACAGTAATTACTTTGGTAATTGCGAAAGTTATGATGACGGTAGTTACTTTGGTGATTATGGTAGTTATGATGACGGTAGCTACTTTGGTAATTGAGGCAGAAATGATGACAGTACAGTAATTACTTTGGTAATTGCGAAAGTTATGATGACGGTAGTTACTTTGATGATTGTGGTAGTAATGATGACAGCAATTACTTTGGTAATTGTGTAAGTTATGATGACGGCAGTTACTTTGGTGATTGTGGCAGTAATGATGACGGTAGTCACTTTGGTGAATAAGGCAGTAATGATTACGGAAGTTACGTTGGTGATTGTGGTAGTTATGATGACGGCAATCACTTTGGTGATTGTGGTAGAAATGATGACGGTAATTACCTTGGTGATTTTGGCAGTTATGATGACGGCAGTCACTTAGGTGATTTGGGCATAATCATGACGGTAGATACTTTGATGAATTTGGTAGTTATGATGACGGTGGTCACTTTGGTGAATGTGAAAGTTAAGAAAACAATAGTTACTTTGGACATTGTTGCAGTTTTGATGGCGGTAGTTACTTTGGTGATTGTGGTAGAAATGATGACTGTCATTACTTTGGTGATTATTGCAGTATGATGACGGTAGTTACTTTGATGATTGTGGTAGAAATGATGACGGTAGACACTTTGTTGATTTTGGCAGTTATGATGACGGTAGTCACTTTGGTGAATAAGGAAGTAATGATTACGGAAGTTTCTTTGGTGATTGTGGTAGAAATGATGACGGTAATTACTTTGGTGATTATTGCAGTATGATGACGGTAGTTACTTTGGTGATTGTGGTAGTTATGATGACGGTAGACACTTTGGTGAATAAGGCAGTAATGATTACGGAAGTTAATTTTGGTGATTGTGGTAGTAATGATGACGGTAATTACCTTGGTGATTTTGGCAGTTATGATGACGGCACTCACTTAGGTGATTTGGGCATTATCATGACGGTAGGTACTTTGGTAAATGTGGTAGTTATGATGACGGTAATTACTTTGTTGATTTTTGTAGTTATGATGTCGGTAGTCACTTTGGTTATTGTGGTAGTTATGATGACAGTAGTTATGATGACGGTAGTCACTTTGGTAAATGTGGTAGTTAAGAAAGCAATAGTAACTTTGGTAATTGTGACAGTTTTGATGGCGGTAGTTACTTTGGTGAATGTGGCAGTATGATGACGGTAGTCACTTTGTTGATTGTGGTAGTTATGATGACGGTAGTTACTTTGGTGAATGTGGCAGTTATGATAACGGTAGTCACTTTGGTGATTGCGGTAGTTTTGATGACGGTAGTTACTTTGGTGAATGTGGCAGTTATGATGACGGTAGTCACTTTGTTGATTGTGGTAGTTATGATGACGGTAGTCACTTTGGTGAATCGGGCAGTTATAATGACGTAGTCACTTTGTTGATTGTGCTTGTTATGACGACGGTAGTTACTTTGGTGAATGTGGCAGTTATGATGACAGTAATTACCTTTGGTAATTGCTAAAGTTATGATGACGGTAGTCACTTTGGTAATTGTGGTAGTTATGATGACGGTAGTTACTTATTTGATTGTGGTAGTTATCATGACGTTAGTATTTTTGATAGTGTGATAGTAATGATGACGGTAGTTACTTTGGTTATTGTGAATGTTATGATGACGGTAGTTACTTTGATGATTCTGGCAGTTATGATGACGGTAGTTACTTTGGTGATTGAGATGGTTATGATGACGGTAGTTACTTTTTTGATTGTGGTAGTAATGATGACAGTAATTACTTTGGTAATTGTGAAAGTCATGATGACGAAAGTTACTTTGGTGATTGTGATAGTTATGATGACGGTAGGTACTTTGATGATTCTGGCAGTTATGATGACGGTAGTTACTTTGGTGATTGTGGTAAAATTGATGACGGTAGTTATTTTGGTGATTTTGGCAGTTATGATGACGGCAGTCACTTTAGTGATTTTGGGCATTATCATAAGGTAGGTACTTTGGTGTATGAGGTACTTATGATGACGGTAGTCACTTTGGTGAATGTGGTAGTTATGATGACGGTAGTCACTTTGGTGAATGTGGTAGTTATGATGACGGTAGTCACTTTGGTGAATGTGGCAGTTAAGAAAACAATAGTTACTTTGGTAATTGTGGCAGTTTTGATGGCGGGAGTTACTTTTGTTATTGTGGTAGAAAAGATGACAGTAATTACTTTGGGGATTTTGGCAGTTATGATGACGGTAGTCACTTTGGTGAATGAGGTAGTTATGATGACGGTAGTCACTTTGGTGAATGTGGTAGTTATGATGACGGTAGTCACTTTGGTGAATGTGGCAGTTAAGAAAACAATAGTTACTTTGGTAATTGTGGCAGTTTTGATGGCGGGAGTTACTTTTGTTATTGTTGTAGAAAAGATGAAAGTAATTACTTTGGGGATTTTTGGCAGTTATGATGACGGTAGTCACTTTGGTGAATGTGGTAGTTATGATGACGGTAGTCACTTTGGTGATTGTGGCAGTTAAGAAAACAATAGTTACTTTGGTAATTGTGGCAGTTTTGATGGCGGGAGTTACTTTTGTTATTGTGGTAGAAAAGATGACAGTAATTACTTTGGGGATTGTGGCAGTTATGATGACGGTAGTTACTTTTGTGATTGTGTTAGTTATGATGACGGTTATAATTTAGTGAATGTGGTATTTATGATGACGGTAGTTTCTCTGGTGAATGTGGTTATTATGTAAACAATAGTTACTTTGGTGAATGTGGTAGTTATGATGACGGCAGTTATTTTGGTGAATGTGGTAGTTATGATGACGGCAGTTACTTTGGTGAATGTGGTAGTTATGATGAAGGTTGTTACTTGGGGGAATGTGGCAGTTATGATGACGGACTTTGGTGAATGTGGTAGTTAAGAAAATAATAGTTACTTTGGTAATTTTGGCGGTTATGATGACTGTAGTTACTTTGGTGAATGTGGTTATTATGTAAGCAATAGTTACTTTGGTGAATGTGGTAGTTATGATGACGGTAGTTACTTTGATGATTGTGCTAGTTATGATCGCGGTAGTCACTTTGGTGAATGCGATTATTATGAAAACAATAGTTCCTTTGGTGATTGTGGCAGTTATGATAACGGTAGTCACTTTGGTTGATTGTGGTAGTTATGATGACAGTAGTCACTTTGGTGAATGTCGCAGATATGATGACGGTTGTCACTTTGGTGAGTGCGGTAGTTATGATAACGGTAGTTACTTTATTGAATGTTGCAGTTATGATGACGGTAGTCACTTTGGTAATTGTGGCAGTAATCATGTCGGTAGTCACTTTGGTGATTGCGGTAGTTATGATGGCGGTAGTTACTTTGGTGAATGTGGCAGTTATGATGATGGTAGTCACTTTGGTGATTGCGGTAGTTATGATGACGGTAGTTACTTTGGTGAATGTGGCAGATATGATGACGGTAGTCACTTTGGCGATTGTGGTAGTTATGATGACGGTAGTTACTTTGGTGATTGTGGTAGTTATGATGACGGTAGTTACTTTGGTAATTGTGGTAGTTATGATGACGGTAATTGCTTTGGTGAATGTGGCGGTTATGATGACGGCAGTCACTTTGTTGATTGTGGCATTATAATGCCAGTAGTCACTTTGGTAATTGTTGCAGTAATCATGTCGGTAGTCACTTTGGTGATTGTGGTAGTTATGTCGACAGTAGTTACTTTGGTGATTGTGGCAGTTATAATGACGGAAGTCACTTTGGTAATTGTGGTGGTTATGATGACGGTAGTTACTTTGGTGAATGTGCCAGTGATGATGACGGTAGTCACTTTGGTGAATGTGGTAATTATGAGAACAATAGTTACTTTGATGATTGTGGCAGTTATGATGACGGTAGTCACTTTGGTTGATTGTGGTAGTTATGATGACGGTAGTCACTTTGGTAATTGTGGCAGTAATCATGACGGTAGTGACTTTGGTGATTGTGGTAGTTATGATGACGGTAGTTACTTTGGTGACTGTGGTAGAAATGATGACGGTAGTCACTTTGGTGAATGTGCCAGTTATGAAGACAATCGCTACTTTGGTGATTGTGGCAGTTATTATGACGATAGTTATTTTGGGTAATTGGGGCAGATTATGATGACCTTTGGTGAACTTTTCTTAGTTACTCGGGTGTTTTGGCATTTTATCAAAAAAATGTAGGGTCTTTTTTGATGACGGAGTCACTTTGTTGATTGGGGATTATGATGAGCTAATTTCTTTGGTGAGTATGGTAGTTATGATGACGGGTGGTTTTTTGGGGGTTGGGGCAGTTATCTGACGGTATCACCTTTGTTATTGTGGTAGTTATGATAGGTTATTACTCTGGTGTTTATGTAGTTATATGCTTTTATTATTTGGTTTTTGGTATTTGTACGGTAGTTTAATTAGTTACATAATACGAGAAACGGTACATTGTCCTATATTATTGATCAAATAATTAAAATGATTTGAGATACATTTATATAAATGATTTATATTAATAACATAACTTCATCTGCAATCTGTAACGCATCCCTAGCACCGTTTTAAACATTAGCAAAATTAAAGTAATTCGATCAAAATATAGACGGACACGTACGGGTAAAACGACATGTAATTCAGTAAACTGTTTGATACCGTAACATATGACTGTAATTAACAAATATAGAACAAGAATCCATTAATTAAATTGCTCTTGCATAATTATAATTTCTACATGAGTCGATCTGTGGTCCAATGGTTTTGCGCTGGCCTATCATAATTCAGCGCTCGCATGTTCGATCTCGGCTAATCCACCTATTAGCAATAGATGAAACTCTTTAAGGGAATTGTTTTTATTGTGAAGAGGCAAATGCCATTTTAACATTATTTGATAACGGTTTAATAATGTATTAAACAAATGAGATCGCTGCTTATATATCACGAACGTAATTAATATAAGTGATATACGGTGATTTTAAATTATCAGAAAAGATATAGAAAAATATAATGACAGTGGTATTTTGACTTCCATAAAAAAAATCGCTAGAACTATATTAGTTGCCAAACAGCAGAATCTTGGGGCATTGCATGTTGATAAAAGGAGAGAAAAAAACACATTTATATTGGGTTAGGCACATTTGGATCCCGATGTACAGTATACTTAGTCGTCTATAGATATGCCTATAACTTTAAAAAGTTTTCAGAAATAACAAGTTATCGTGTTTTAAATAGAATAAGGATACCAACTTCTATCAAGGGACTTTCCTGTTGTTGTGCGCGTACAAGAGTTCAGACTTAATAAAACCTATATGATAGTAAAAATATTGATATATATCACCGTTGTTGATTTCGATTTAACAGAGACAAAGAGTACACAAGAAAAATAACAACTGTTAAAACTCATTGATGTTTTCTGCCTAAATATATGTAAAATAGATAGAAATTCTCATGCGGCCAATTTGCGAAGTTTCGCGTAAAAAGTCGATTGACTTCCGCTTTACATCGATAATGTCCGTAAAACACCGTGAATCTGATTTTTGCGGCCATTCAACCAATAGAATATCTTTTTGGTGTCACATGGTATGACGTTTAACTGAATAATTAATTTCCGTTAAAAGTATTGCTATTCGGTAATTTCCGGACCTTTTTGTGACAAGCGTAAAAGTTTTCATCAACAGCCGCCATCTTGGAAGGATTTGGTCGTGAAATTCTAATTTTTAAAGCTGAAAATACGAATTAATTTGGAAGGGAGTTCATTTTTGAGGCACTCAGTGGTTCGATGAAACTTTAATCAACAGTATAATTTGAAGAAAGTCGATCTTGGACGGATATTTATCGAGATGTGAGGATAATTCCAACCGAGAACCCCGGCTTTGTATCGTGAAGAGGAGTGCGATTATTTTGGAAATCCCGAACTCACTTTTTTGGATATTATGTCGTTTGAAATCTTAAGATCGATTCAAAATGGTTAAACACTAAATTAAATCTGTGCATTTCTAAAGATGGATTGAATAAAGTGTTTTTAAAAAGGATTAAACCACCAAAAAAAAAAAAATCCGACCTGGAGATGGGCCTCCGAACAAGAAAAAAAACTCGCCCCCACCAAAAAGGGAAATGAATAGGTTTTTATGATCAATCTTCATAATTATATTTTTTTTGTATTTCGCAATAATTTTTTTGTTGTCGCTGGAGCGCAATTTATGGGGTTTTTTTTGATTTTTTTTAACCCTGCAGAAACAAACCTCATTTTCATTTTTTATCCCTTTATTTAGAATATTTGATACTTACATTAAAATTAAATTAGGGGCATTTAAAAGAAAATTTTTTTCAGTTTTTTTTTCATTTTTCAGCAAAAATATCAAGGGATATGCAATAAACATTATTTTATTCCAGTTTCACTTTTGACATAAATTATGTTTGATTTTTTTAATGTGTAAAATGTCAGTAATCATTTTGTCTATAGCAATTTTTTACAACTGTAAGAAGAAAGTCAAGGCATTGTTCATTTAAATGAATGTGATTTCTTTTAATGTGTAACCTCTTATTACTTAAAACGTGAACAGAAATTGTGGCACGTCAAAAAATCATTGGTTTTAACGGGATTCGGTTTAAATTTCTGCCCTTTCCCCTCTTTTTTCAATCAGCATTCAATAACCCTTTTGTTTTGAGAATCATTTTTTTATGTGTTACATGTTAAAAATTTGGTTTTTATCTCTCCCTCGATTTTTAAAGTTCTGGGAATTTTCTTGGGGAAAAAAATAAAACTTTTAAGGGACAGATAAAACAATCAGATAGGTGGTTTCATGTTGGTATGACATTGTGCTAAAATTGTACAAGAAAATATATTACAAAATTTGCATCATGTTAAGACCATGTAAATATGAATGGGACTTTTAAAATCTTACTGCTTGTTCACTCACATAACTTTGTTATTAACACCAATATTTATGGAAAAAATCTTTCACAACGGCTGACAAGACGCATGCATGTTTTTGGAAAAGAAATTAATGCGACACTAATCTCAATTTGCTTGAACCATTACTCTGTCCCATTGTGACTGGCGGCATATTGGTGGCATATTTTTTGTTTGTGATACTAATTTGTTTCTTCTCAATAATTTTGAGATTTGAATTGTGAATTTCAATGCGCTTTTTGTTTAGAACAAGACTATTTGCGATATGATATAATTAATATCATAACCTTTCTAAGTGATTGATAATGGTTTGATTGTTGCATGTAGTAATGTTCTTATGAGTGAATAGTCGGACACAGAAATCTGAGACATTGTCCAATCAATTTTATCTTGTCTGTAAGATTACAAAATCATCAGAAAGCATATAGGGAAGATTCATACACTTATAAAGATTCTAATTGTGCTTTAAGAGGAGCGGTGGCTTATGGGTTAAAGGCTCTTCCTCTCAACCCAGGGATCATTGGTTTGAGCCCTAATTGGGTCACGACCATGTTTATTCATACTGGTCAGTTCCAGGAAGCAGAATCGAAAGTGATTATTATAAGTTGCAAGAACTTGTTTCGCTCTCAAGCTTGAATAAATATGTTTAAATCTAAACTGAAACCTAATTTTGCTTATTTCTGTTGTGTGCAGGAGATGATTTTTCTCTTAGTATGAAGTAAAGTATAACCCAATTCACTGCCTCCATTAGTATAGCTAGGATACGACTTTAAACTGGACCAGTAAAGCTAGAATATCAGTGAAAGCTCCACAACAGAGCTTTTATTTTTATTAAAAATAGAACTGAAGCAAAATAATGATTTATAATTTTGTACTTTGTAGAATTTAACTTCCTGCTGGACATGGCTACTGACCTGCCAGATGAGCTGATGACAACCAGTGACAATTCATCTGCAGTTTCTACACAGAATGGAACTGATCCAACACAGCATGTTGGAAATCAGGAAAGTGCAAGTCAAAGACATCAACATATTACACAGCTCTTGTCTAATGTGTCAACACCAGCAAGTAGTGCAAATAGCAGTATTGCTAATAGTGCAAACATAGGAATGAACAATGCTTTAAACAATGCAGTGAAAAGCCCCTTGTCAAATAGTTTACAATCACCTCCACATGGACTTGTGCAAAACAAGCCAGGACCACCCGCATCATCTCATTATCCATCAGACAGTAATACATTTGTGTCAAGTAGTGCATCATTCTCATTAGCCAACTCAACATCATCATCCATGTCAATGCCTAGTTCAATGTCTAATATGCCGGGAAATATGAATATGAACACAATCTCGCAATTAAGTGTTAACAATATTCCCCATCCACCAAATCAAATGATAAATGGACCCCAATATGCCATGAATGGTGCAGGTGGGGGTGTACGGCAGCCACAAGTGAGGGGAATGATGATGCAGAATCAAGGCATGCAGCCACAAAGCATGAACAATATGGGCATGTCTCAGCAGAATATGATCGGGGCTTTAAGCAATACCCAGATGTCACGGCAACCTATGGATCACGCTGGCATGATCCAAAGTTCACAACAACAAATGATGAAGGTAAACATTCTAAAAGGATAAAAACAAGCCTTTCTGTTCAATATAATTATCACCCATTTGACTTGTATTTTGGGTTGGTTTTTATCTAGGTCTTATATTCATTTGTATACTATATAGTACCTAGACTTTCTGTGAAAGTTAATATTTGATTCTCATAATCATTGCTGCATGATTGTTACTTTTAGAGGTAGAGATTACAATCCATTCTATGTTGTCTTTTTATTTTAAAGTTACTCTTGCAAATTGAATACCACAGCAATGCTGCTCTTAGATGTTTGAGCCTATGCCAGTTTTTATAAATATTAAAAGATATTTCTAGACAAAGAGGGGGGGGTATAAAATCAAATATTTCCAAATTTTTTAAGTTATTAATATTTATGACAACATATTTTATATTTAAGTGTATTTATCTTCTTTATTCTTTTAATTTTAAAATTATTTTAAGCTAACTTAATTTAGATCCTTGCCTTTAGAAAATGTAGATAAATTTTGATTCTTGTAATATAGTTGTTAACAAGAAAGATTTCTTGAATACCTGATCATTTGACAGAGTAAAGACTAATGAAGGGCATTTAATTTATTTATTACTCTCTACTCAGATATTCAGGAAATCTTTCAGCACTTTTATTTGTAGACCTATAATTGTGTTAGGTAGCTTGCTCAACTTAATCTTTGAAAGATCATATTTTAAAGTTTAAAACTTTAATATATTCTGAATAAGGGTGCAACTTATTGTGATGCTTATTTTATAAACTTAAATAATTAAACATGATTCTGTTATTTCGTGAAACCTGAATTATTAAGACAGGAATTATCCAAATATAATATTTATCATAAAGACTTGCAAACAACAATTTTTGTAGATTTTTTTTTGTAAGCAGTGAAAGTTATTAACTGTAAGGATTTATATATAGGGTGATATTAAGTTTAGCAAGCTGAAGTTTTAGCCTTTAATTGTAGTAGTTTTTGTTTTCCATCTATATCCATGGTGTCTTATTTCAGCCTAATGGACCACTGGGTGGAGGTGGCGGGTTCCCCAGCTATAATCAGGTACAGGGTACAGGGCATCAGCTACCAGTGCCCACGTCTAACTACAATACAAACACAAACAACAACAATCCCTCTACCGTACTCTCGTCTATGTCCTCTCCACCACCGCACAGCATGCCTGCCCATAACCCTAACACTGTAAGTACTAGCTTGCCTCACCCTCACCTTGCACTGCTTTATCTTTAAGTGTTTGCGAACTGTTAATTATGCTTTTTATAAGCTCTTCTTTAATTGTATGTTCTTCTCTCAAGTAGATGAAGGTTAAATGTATACTGGAAACAAAACTTCTTAGAATAAAGATAAATTTATGAATAAAAATTTTGATGAATAATTTAGGAAAAATAATGAATTTTTTTCAGTTTTTTCAGACTGATAATTAGTTGCCACAGCATCATAATTTGTACTGCCTGTCACTTATTAAATTATTTTTGTTTTGCATGCAGTAGATAATTTATTTATACATATTTTTTTGTTCATTTGTATTCCTAAATTTTCTTTCGAGATGTAATTTTATCACATTTGCTATTCTTTTTTCTTGCTTTGTTGACTTCATGTTTAAACACATTTTGAACTAACTGTATTGTTTTTGCTATAAAACTAACTGTATTCATAAACATACATATTAAATCCATATATGCTATAGTATAATTAATTGTCCGCTGAACATAATGAAGTATAAGAGTCTGTGTACTCTTCTAAGTTCTACATAAAGCCGCATTCAGATTTCTGATTAAAGTTTAAATGTATTAAAATGTTTTTTTCTTAACCTAGATTATTTTCTATGAATTTAATGTCAAACCTTATGTCAAGAATTATTTCCCCATTTGAACAGCTTTTGTTTACTTTTACTAAAATGGTTTTGTTCTCATACTTCAAAATTTATATATATGTTCCTTATTTACACACACAATTGTGTATGACAACTGGACAAGGATCTGAATTCTAAATCACCTATATTTCAAGTATTGTCTTCACTTTGGACTGAGACAACATATGAGCCGCGTCACAACAAAACCAACTTAATGGGTTTGCGACCAGCATGGATCCAGACCAGCCTGCGCATTCGCGCAGTCTGATCAGGATCTATGCTGTTCGCTTACAGACCCTATAACAAGTAGACAAACTGATAGCGAACAGCATGGATCCTGATCAGACTGCGCGGACGCGCAGGCTGGTCTAAATCCATGCTGGTCGCAAACCCATTATGTTGGTTTTGTCATGACGCGGCTCATATTTAGCTATGTAAGTTTGATGGAAAAGCAGAGCTATTGTCATGACCATCTCATGAAATTTTTATGGTCAATTTTTCCATCAGCATTTGTTAAAATTCGAGCCCTCATAGGAAACATGTATGACATGATTCAAAACTCTAGTAACAGCTGTATTTCAAGAGTTGTCTTCTCTTCAAATGTAGAATTTTGTTTAAAAAGTGTTACCTTTTGTCATTATTTTGTTCCTTTAGGGACATAACCTCAAACTTAAGGTTATTGTCTTTCAATAACAACACAGAAATTGATGTTAATTTTTTATTTATCACTTACTCTGATACTTAAATGTGGTATAAAAATTAAACATTTGAAAAGTTTGTGGTATAAAAATTAAACATTTGAAAAGTTTTATTTTCAAGAAATATATGTCATGATTGATTTTTTTTTCCATTTTTTTTCCGTGTCCAAAATTAGTTGAGCCTGCTGTCCTCTCTGGCAGCTCTTATTTCAAGATGCATTATGGTGTAGTTGAAATTGAGAAAACGATTATTACAACACGTTTTTACACTTTATAACATGGTGTGGCAAGCACAGACAAATAAGCTATAACTAAAATCAAATGACATTTTAATAATAAGTAGAGATATGAGAGCAAGAATCTGCATTATTCGATGATATATGTACATGGATTTCTCTTTAAAGTCTTCCCTTTAAAGCATTAGATTAAAATCTAATCTAATTATACATGCATGCATTTCAAAAATGTGCATCACTGTAGGAAAATGGCAGAAATTAAAAAAAGAATTACATTTCTAGTCAATTCCAAATAATCCAAAACCTGAGCATTGTTCTTAGCTAGATGCATAAATTATACAAATAAGTGTATGTTTTAATATTTTGTTAAGTTTTGTCATGACTGTACTTTTCATCATATGAAAAAATTGCAATGCGGTTTCAAATGTCAGAATTAGATAGGAATCTTGAAGTGAAATAATCTTATACTAATATTCAATCCTATTTGAGCAGACAAATTCATTGTTCCCATTGTGTCTAATTAATAAAGATGTGTATTTCACTTCTTTTGCAATACTTGATTGCACAACAATTTGTATTAAAGAAAGAGATCCGCTAATACTTACCAATATTTAAGAATATTTTACTTAGACTAAAGTTGGACATTATTTTTTTTCTTTTATAGCAACAGGTTCCACAAACTCAACCAGTGCCCCATACTGGTGTACCGGGTGCTCCAGGCGCTCCGGCTGCTGCCACTCAACCGCAGTCTGCAGACCCAGAGAAACGCAAATTGATACAACAGCAACTGGTGTTGTTGCTGCACGCCCATAAGTGTCAGCGTCGAGAACAGAATAATGGGGAAGCTTGCTCTCTGCCACATTGTAGAACGATGAAGAATGTTTTAAATCACATGACCACTTGTAATGCTGGAAAATCTTGTCAAGGTATGAGTTCTCTTCTAAATTAAAATACTATACAGAACAGATTCAGTAACTGCAGTTATGTTCCTGTGTAACTTCCTGATTGGTAGACAAATATACATTATTAGTTATAAAGATTTTGTCAGGTTATATGGCCCTATATAAACAGTTGTTTGTAAATATAACCTGAGCGGCTAACCTGTAGTTATATTGCAAACAACTGTTCATATGCAGCCATATAACCGGTCAGGAATATTTATAATGAATTTGATACTGCAAACTTTCTTATTTTAGAGAAAAAGGTGAGATTTCTTCATGAATTGACAGCTGCTGCGTATATAAAACTGTATAAATGTCATGATAATGTAATGAAAAGCAACATTACAAATATGCAGTATTATAAATTGATTTGAGTTAGTTTCTTACTTGTTGAAAGTTATTTTTAATGCAAATCCTTAACACTTCATACTAACAGAAAGAAAACATAATGTGGTAAAAGGTTAAAAGCTTAAAAAATTTATGAATGCTAAGTGAATCTAGAAAGATGCTTATTAATAAAAATATGGCACCGCACTCATAAAAAGTTAATTGATTCAAACATATTATAATGAAGTATGTTATTTTGCTTCTTCAGTTGCACATTGTGCATCATCTAGACAGATCATTACACATTGGAAGAATTGTACACGGCAGGATTGTCCTGTATGTCTACCATTGAAACATGCATCTGATAGGCAGAAACAGCCAGGCGGTAAGCTGAATATTGCGTTTCCAAATGAAGGTATAAACAATTCATAATAGTTCCCTGTTGAATGTTTATGAGGATATTGGCTAAAGTTAGATAAGTGGATCATGGTAGCAAAAAATTACAGGGGCATCAAGGGCATTAACTTGTAGAACTTTTGTTCATCATCACACTGAATTTCAAGTGTCACTGGCTTAAAAAACCTACACTTAAATGATTTAGGTCATTCAGTGTCAAGAACAGATAAGGATGGCTGTTGTACTTGTTATTACTTTGTGTTGTTCAATTTTTGGTATATTTTTTGCTCACCTGTCACTTTGTGGCAGGGTGAGCTTTTGTGATCGCTTTTCGTCCGGCTTCCGTCCATCATCCGTAAACTTTTACCTTAAATGACATCTCCTCATAAACCACTAAGCCAATTTAATCCAAACTTCACAGGAATGTTCCTTTGGTGGTCACCTTTGAAAATTGTTCAAAGAATTTAATTCCATGCCGAACTCTGGTTGCCATGGCAACCAAAAGAAAAAAACTTTAAATATCTTTTTCTAAAAAACCCAAAGAGCTAGAGCTTAGATATTTGGCATGAAACATCTTCCAAGTTTGTTCAAATAAAAGCTCTGGGGTAAAAATTGGCCCCGCCCCAGCGGGTCATTGATTTTACCTATATGCATATAGTAAAAACTTAAAAAGTCTTATTTTAAAGAACCCAAAGAGCTAGAGCTAAGATATTTAGCATGAAACATCTTATGGGTGTCTATTAAGTTTGTTCAAATAAAAGCCCTGGGGTCAAAATTGGCCCCGCCCCAGGGGGTCATTGATTTTCTCTATGTGCATAATGTGAAAACTTAAAAATCTTCTGTTAAAAAACCCAAAGAGCTAGAGCTAAGATATTTAGCATGAAACATGTTCTAATGGATGTCTACTAAGTTTGTTCAAATAAGATCCCTGGGGGTCAAAATTGGCCCCGCCCGGGGGTCATTGATTTTCCTTGTATGTGTATAGCAAAAACTTAAAAAATCTTTTTTGAAAAAACTCAAATAGCTAGAGTTTAGATATTAAGCATGAAGCATCTTCTAGTGAGTGTCTACAAAGTTTGTTCAAATAAAAGCCCTGGGGTCAAAATTGGCCCCGCCCCGGGGGACATTGATTTTAACTATATGTGTTTAGAAAAAAACTTAAAAAATCTTCTTTTAAAAAACCCAACGACCTAGACCTTAGATGTTTAGCATGAAACATCTTCTAATGGGTGTCTACCAAGTTTGTTCAAATAAAAGCCCTGGGGTTCAAACTGGCCCCGCTTCGGGGGCCTATATACAGGTGAGCGACTTCAGGGCCATCGTGGCCCTCTTGTTTGCATTTGAAATTGTTTTTTAAAATATATATATAATTTCATTATGTTAATTGAGAAATCTTTTAGAATGCCTAAAATAATATAGTTGTAAGGTTGGAAAAGTCCACTTTTTTGTTTCTAATAGTTGAAGCAAATACAAAAAGTTGACATAACACTGTTTTTGCAATATAACTTTGAAAATTTTATTTATATTTCAAATTCATGAATTGAAACATCATATCTTTTATTGATAATTCATGCATATGGGATGGGATATTTTAGGCAAAGAGTGACAAATTTAATATATTTTGGACTGTATTCACATTTTCATTAGATTCAAATAATCTTCAATATTATTAAATAATCCAAAGTAGCAAAACTTAACAATTTCACATGGCTGCTTTTTCAGTTGTAAATATTTTAGTCTTACTTACAGCAGGTCCTCAACAGACAAATGCTACACCCAACACAGGGCCTCCAAGTGCTGTCAACTCTGTAGGACCCCCAGCAGTTCCTCCAGGAATGAATGATGCCCAGCTTCAGAAAGCTTATGCTGCCCTTGGGCTCCCGTATAATGGGAAACAGGCCTCTAGTCTTCAAGCCAATACCAACAGAGCTCCAGTTAACAGTCAAGGTAACCATATAATCTTAAAGCATTAAGACATCCCAACTTCATTGTGGATTATGTGCAGTTATGTTTAAAAATATTAACAAAAATTGAAAAATGCTTAATTATTTAAAACATAATTTAAAATATTGTTATTTCATTTATTTAAAATTTTTATAATGTTCACATTCTTCTATTTTCTTTTATTAGAAAACTGTATTTATCATGCATATGACAATTTTTTTCATGTATATACTTATAGTGAGTTTAGGACTTAACACTACTGGCCAAAGCCCAGCAAGTCAGTTACTGGGCAATCAGAACAACCCCATGAATTCTATATTAAACACAAGCAGTGCTCTGTCTGGTAATGATGGCTTACAAATAATAGCACAGACCAATAGAGGAACTAAAGAATGGCACCAGAGTGTAACACAAGATTTGAGAAACCATCTTGTTTATAAACTGTAAGTATAATAAATAACTGAAAGATTTCTATACTGATATTTTAAGTTATGTATAGACTAAGTATCTTTTGTTACCTCCCTTGATGTTTTATTAACATGCATGAAAATTGACAATATTATGACACTTCAAAAGAAAATATTGCAGACTTAAGTAAACAATCAAAAAAAGAAATAATCTTAGTTAGGAATTTACATAATCCTTTTGAAATTTTGTACATATAAAGCATACTCCACTGAGGTCCCAACAGCCTAAAAATTTAAAATGTAAATTTCTTGCGAAGAACAACTTGGCAACATAACGCAGAAAAATATGCAAAAGATAATTAAGACATCTACTCAGAAATAAATTGGAAATCGATTTTTATACTATTGATAGCCCAATTTGAGTGAAAAGCTTTGCAACACTTTTCAATTTTGGGTCAATTTTCACATTAAAAATAGTTATTCTGGAAAAACAGAGTGAGTGAATGACCTGAATTTTTGCACAAAAGTCTTAGTTGCATTAAATGAAACATTCAACTTTGAAAACATTCAACTTTGAAAAAAAAAATTCAGTCCGCTCATGTCAAAAAACCTAAGTGGAGTTTTAACCAACAGTATTTAATAGATAATAAAAGACAGTCATATTGATTAAAGTTGATTGTCAGTTACGAGGGTTTCTTCTTGTATTAACAGGACATTGAATTGGTGCTGATTTTAGAATATATTCTGCTTTAAATGTGTATAAAAATGTTCTCACAAAAATAGAATTTATTTTTATGTATTGAATATATTGATTTTCAATAAATATAGTTACAAAATGTAAAGAAAATAAATAAAAAACAACTTAAGAAAGCTCATTTTTTTAGACTTGCTGGTTTTAAGGAAGTTTTGTTTAACCAGTTATTGCCATCTTTGGCCTACACAAGTGTCCTGTTGCTTGTAAAGTGAAATTAGAATAAATAACTACAGTATCACATTGGTGTGAAATGTTACGTGAAAAATAAGACATGTAATTAACATACCTTCATACATGTAATTGCATATCTGATGAAATTGTTTATTGTACTTGTAGAGTTCAAGCCATTTTTCCTACTCCTGATCCAGCTGCTCTAAAAGATAGAAGGATGAATAATCTAGTAGCATATGCAAGAAAAGTAGAAGGGGATATGTATGAAACAGCTAATAGCAGGGTAAGTTATTAACATTAATCTTAAAGAGATGGGTGTTTTAATTCAAATCCAATATTTCTTACATCGTATTCAATACAGAAATAATTTTATAAACAATAGCAATACAGATAAAGGAAGACTTAAATATGTATTTAATCTAGTTAATGTTGTACATACAGTTTGTAAAAGGTTGTAGTTTTCAAGTGCATTAAAAGAAAAACAGTCTCTTAATTATATGCAACCTTACATCTCAAATAATATTCCTACTAACTTAAGCATATCAGTTCTCATTATACATTTTAAATATCTTTTTTGCAGGAGGAATACTACCACTTTTTAGCAGAAAAAATTTACAAAATCCAAAAAGAGCTTGAAGAAAAAAGAATTCAACGTCGAGAACAACAGAAACAACAGTTACCTGGCGACGCAACTGGTGCTGGCATCAGACCACAAACCAGTAAGTGTAATACTTTGATGCTGTCCTATATTGTTCATCTTTCATAACGCATCTGTTACTGATTTGTTTGACTACAGAACAGTTTGACAGTTAATTATATATAGTTGTTCGCTGTGGATTAACAGTATTTTCAAATATGAATTATGTAGAGTTTTACTGATTAACTCTGATCTTTCATAGCTCTATGAATTTTAAGGAAAGGCATATGTACTGTTGATATGTGCCTTTTATTTTCTCTTGCCTAGCACTGTTAAAACACACATAAACAGTTTTATTATTAAATCATTAAAAAATACTTTGTCTAACTTTGTGGTTAACATGCATTTGTAATAAGTATTACTTACTCTTAATTGTTGTATTTTACAGATGGTCCTATGTCAAATATTCTATCTACTATTGGTGTACAAGGGTCTGGCAATGACCCATTTGGAAATCAGCCAAATTTGGTGACTCCGAATGTAGGCCCAAGACTGCCAGGGATGGCTGCACCACATCCAAGGTCCACACCTCCTTTGGTATGTGTAATTCTTCTATAATATTACTATTAATTGACATATGACTAAAACAATCATGCTAAGGCATTACTATTTAAATGATGAATGCTTCATGTATGGTGTAGATCAAATGTAGTAATTTAACAGACTTTTTAACTCGAAATAAATCTTGAAAAAGAAAACAATAAAAAATGTTGTCACATCTTTGAGGACGCTTGTGCTTTATTATATCACGTCTGTTTTGTCATATTTGATATATTGATTCTAATTTGAAATTAACCACTGATTTAATAACAATTAGAAATTATCTAAGTATTAAGCAGACAAGTAACAATACAGTGTTGATTGTATATGATGATGTGTATAATTTTATAAGACATGTCCTGCAACAATTTCTTGTTTTTCATAGATGAATATGCCTGGAAATCCAAACCAAATGAATATGGGTTTGAACACTAATCAGTTTGACCAGCTTAATACACGTATGCCTGGTCATGTAATGAACCAGCAACAGTCACAACAACAGTTACAGCCTCATCTTCAGCAGCAACATCAGGCCACTAACCCAAACCTTATGGCCAACAAAGGACCACGTGGTATGTCATCGCCTCAGGTTCATCAACAAGGGGTGTTGGGATCTAGTCAGTCCCAGATTCAGCAGTCCCTTCCAGCCAGCAGTAACCTGGCATCAATGGCTAATCGTTCATCTACGGACACTCTTGTCTCATCAGTTCAGTCATCAATGGCAACATCTTCATCTATACAAACCAGTATTGGCATGGTGAGTTTTCTCTCTTCAGTATGATTGATATGCTGTACAAATGTTAAAATTGATGTAGTTGAACAAAGATGTGTGATTTATGTGAATAAAGCAAGTATGTTTTAGAATAAATAGGAAATATTACACAAGTGTGCTGTTTTGGGAAATCATGTATGTATATATATTAATATGGAATATTGTTGAAAATAACCATATTTTCATTAGTATAGTGACTGAATTTTCATTGGAAAACTTTAATGATTCTACAAATTCGTATGTAATGAATTTTATTGATTCAGAAAAGTAATGTTTTGTTTTATTAGGATCCATTGGCATCATTAAGTGGTCAGGATAAGAAGATCAAGTTAGAAGGCACAATGGATGTAACCACCCAGCCAAACACCTTATCTGAGGTGTTATCATCGCCTAACCCAGTTTCTTCGGAACAGGGACCTACCATGTCAACAACATCTGTAGTCACTTCATTATCATCTTCTGGTGCCATTACAAGCACAGCATCAAATGCCATGGACATCAAAACGGAAATAAAATCTGAAATAAAAACAGAGGTAAGGGCTTTGCCTCTTTTTGGAAGATTATAAACAAAAAAGCTTGACTTGGGGATTTTTTGTCTTTGTTGAAAAATGCTTTTAATAATGTCCAAAAGTATCTCTAGAGATATTGACTCCATATCCTTAAGCTTTGATTTATTTAGACTTCCATATTTTGTTTGTTACAATATGAAGGAAGTTTTACCTTTAATGTTAAAAGATTTCACAGGATGACCTGCAAACAGATTCAGTCGTTGTTTTTGCTGTTCTGGAAAAACAGTATGTTGTCACAATTCTCCGGGGAAAAAAAATCTAAGTTCAAGTAGCATTAGCAATTTTAAGGCAAGAGAAGTGGACACAAATAGCAATAGCTATGACGTAAGTCAGTCAGCCTGTTTCTACCATATCCTCTCTATAACACTTAAATCTTGGCTCAAATGTTCACATTAGTGAGGCGACATGTAGAACCTATGCCAAAGCTGTGCTGTCACAAGGTCAGTGTCACAGTTGGTCAGATGTTCATCTTGAGTAATATCACAAATATTTTTTAATGGACCTGTATATTGTGTGTGAAAGAGATATTAGAGGCTATTATTTCCTCTGTAAAATTTCTATTTTTTTAGATGGTGAACAAATATGGAATCCATTGGTTTCTTGCTATATTTTGAACATTTTAAACAAAGTGTTATTATATTGTCTGGTGTGTTGTAGGTAAAACAGGAGCCTGGAATGATGGATATCAAACAAGAGATTCCCAGTGTTGATTCAGGAGCTGTCACAACGCCTAAAGCAGAGCCAACAGATGGGAACGATGATGTCAAACCAAGTCCGATGGACACAAGTCAGACTAGCACAACACCAGTCCAGTCTCCTGCGCCTCAAAAACCTAGAGCAAGAAAAAGTATGATAGTTTTATGTCAGTTTGATTCTTTCCAGACGAGCATATCATTCTTCATTGAATTGAAAATTAAATATGCTTAGTTTAAAGAACTATAGTATATCTAAGCATATTTTATAATGAATTTAATCTTTATAAAGTTAAGTGTCCTGTTTTTGACTGAACTAACTCATTTAACTTCATTCAACTATGATATAATAAATAGAGGATATTGAATGAGTGTATGTTTAATACTTTATTTATTGAACGAGTTGAATAAAATCATATTATGCGAGCATAATAGTTTTATTCAAAAGTTCAATAAATTTAGTATTGAATCTACACGAATATAATATTCTATTTATCAGATATATAAAAAAAAGAACAGTAAACTGTTAAAAATAGCCATTTTAACTGATGGGCCTATAGTGTAACGCTAACATTAGCGCGCTTTAAGGCTATGTTTATATATAGTGCAAATGACATCTCATCAAAGTGTTATTACACTAGTGTTATATTGTTTTTATTAAATGGCTTTATTATACTCCTTCGCCGCGATTTATGTGATAAGATGTTTTATAAATTGTTTTATTTCTACAGTATTTAAACCTGATGAGTTGAGGCAGGCTTTGATGCCAACATTAGAGAAGTTATACAAACAAGATCCAGAGTCATTGCCATTCCGTCAACCAGTAGATCCTGTTGCCTTACATATACCTGTAAGTCACGTACATAAGTACATAGTTTTATATTTTGTTGCTTGTATATCATGTAGAGATTAACCAGGCTTTAACAATTTTGCCACAGCTTATAGTTGTTCTAGTTTTAATTTCTTAGTTTTCACTCACCTTAGCATTGTGATTGTGAAATGTCTGTCGTTTGTTGTTGTTTACAATCTCTTTAAACAACATTTACTCCCAAATCATGAGATTTTGAATAAACTTCACTGGCATGATCTGTAGGTGGTCTCCTTAGAATTTGATAAATAGTAAGTCTGATGCATGAATAGGTGCAAAAACTAGGCAAAAAATCTTATTTCAAGTATAAGACTATAAGTATTTGGTATGTTGATTTGTTCATTGGGTCTTTACAAAACTTATCAGTTATACCCTTAAAGACCTGAAATATTTAGCATGAAATAGCATAAAGGTCACTGCTAAAGTATATACATGTAGTTCCTTGTGTAAAATGGCCTACCTCAGGGTCACTTTTGCTTAGGCTTAGAATTACTTTTAACCAATTTTCTCTGCAGGTTCTAGATCAAGAGCTAAATATGTATTAACATGTCATTATCGACTGAGTTTCTAAAATTGTATAATAATGGGTCAGAAATTGTTCAGACTGCTGTAACATTTATCTCCTTTCATTTTTTCTCAGAGATAGTAATATTGAGCCTGTTGTTTAAAAGTCCTTTCTTTACCTTAGTGTTGTATTCTCTTAATACAAATTAACATCAGTGGGGATAAAAAAAGAAGACCAAATAAGGTTCATCAAACAGTTGCTTTGGTTATTTTGCTGGTAGCCAAGTTCCATTATTCACCTATTGTTACCATGATTATGTCCATTTGCGAAAAAAACAGATTTATTTTTTTGGCATTTATTTGTTATTATTGATGTAAATATAAATTTGAATGTAAGGTCTCCACTGTCCATTTAACAAGTCTGTGGTGGCTAATCCTATGTACTCAATAAAAATAAGTTTTATAATGTCTTATTGATTACAGAAGAAGGGAAAATTGATTTCGAGTGTCATTCAGGTGAGCGTCCACGGACCTTTTTTTTATATGTCATGAATGTATTGTCATAACTTTCAAGGTGTCCTATATGTCATATATAAGCACCTTCGTAACGGAGTTTAAGGACTCGGGGTACAAAATATTTTGAAGAGATGGGGATGTTTCTAATGTTGATGTTTTGTTGTTATTATTATGCCCCCATTTCGAAGAAAAGGGGGTATATTGCTTTGCACTTGTCGGTCCGTCGGTCCGTAGACCAAATGGTTTCCGAGTGATAACTAAAGAACCCTTAGGCCTAGGAACTTCAAACTTGGTATGGTGATTGGTCATGACAAGTAGATGACCCCTATTGATTTTGGGGTCAAGGGGTCAAAGGTCAAGGTCACATTGACCTTGTAAGGAAAAACGGTTTCCGATCAATAACTAAAGAACCTTAAGGCCTGAGGACTTCAAACTTGGTATGGTGATTGGTCATGGATCAGTAGATGACCCCTATTGATTTTGGGGTCAAGGGGTCAAAGGTCAAGGTCAACATTGACCTTGTAAGGTAAAACGGTTTCCGATCAATAACTAAAGAACCTGAAGGCCTAGGAACTTCAAACTTGGTATGGTGATTGGTCATGATTAGTAGATGACCCCTATTGATTTTGGGGTCAAGGGGTCAAAGGTCAATGTCACATTGACCTTGTAAGGAAAAACGGTTTCCGATCAATAACTAAAGAACCTTTAGGCCTAGGAGCTTCAACTTGGTATGGTGATTGGTCATGATCAGTAGATGACCCCTATTGATTTTGGGGTCAAGGGGTCAAAGGTCAAGGTCACATTGACCTTGTAAGGAAAAAACGGTTTCCGATCAATAACTAAAGAACTTTAAAGGCCTAGGAACTTCAAACTTGGTATGGTGATTGGTCATGATCAGTAGATGACCCCTATTGATTTTGGGGTCAAGGGGGTCGAAGGTCAAGGTCACATTGACCTTGTAAGCGAAAAACGGTTTCCGATCAATAACTAAAGAACTTTTAGGCCTAGGAACTTCAAAGTTGGTATGGAGATTGGTTATGACCAGCAGATGACCCCTATTGATTTTGGGGTTAAGGGGTCAAAGGTCAAGGTCACATTGACCTCTTGGGTAAAAACGGTTTCCGATCAATAACAAAAGAACCCTTAGGCCTAGGGACTTCAAACTTGATATGGTGATAGGTCATGATCAGTAGATGACCCCTATTGATTTTGGGGTCAAAGGTCAAGGTCACATTGACCTCTTAGGTAAAAACGGTTTCCTATCAATAACTAAAGAACCCTAAGGCCTAGGAACTTCAAACTTGGTATGGTGATTGGTCATGACCAGCAGATGACCCCTATTGATATTGGGGTTAAGGGGTCAAAGGTCAAGGTCACATTGACCTTGTAAGCGAAAACGGTTTCCGATCAATAACTAAAGAACTTTTAGGCCTAGTAACTTCAAAGTTGGTATGGTGATTGGTCATGACCTGCAGATGACCTTTTGATTTTGGGGTCAAGGGGTCAAAGGTCAAGGTCACATTGACCTTGTAGGTAAAAACGGTTTCCGATCAATTAACTAAAAACGCTTAGGCCTAGGAACTTCAACTTTAGTATAATGATTGTTCGTGACCAGCAGATGACCCCTATTGAGTTTTGGGTCAAGGGTCAAAGATCAAGGTCACATTGACCTTGTAAGTAAAAACGGTTTCTGATCAATAACTTAAGAACGCTTAGGGCCTAGAACTTCAAACTTGGCATGGTGATTTGTCATGACCAGCAGATTACCCCTATTGGATTTTTGAGATCAAGGGGTCAAAGGTCAAGGTCACATTGACATTGTAAGTAAAAACTATTTCTGATCAATAATTAAAGAACGCTTCGGCCTAGGAACTTCAAACTTGGTATGGTGATTGGTCATGAGCAGCAGATGACCCCTATTGATTTTAGGGTCAAAGGTCCTCAAGGTCACATTGACGATGTATGTTAAAAACGGTTTCCAATCAATAACTAAAGAACCCTTAGGCCTAGGAACTTCAAAACTTGGTATGGTGATTGGTTCATGACCAGCAGATGACCTATTGATTTTGGGGGTCAAGTGGTCAAAGGTCAAGGTCACATTGACCTTGTAGGTAAAAACGGTTTCTGATCAATTAACTAAAAACGCTTAGGCCTAGGAACTTCAAACTTTGTATGATGATTGGTCGTGACCAGCAGATGACCCCTATTGAGTTTTGGGTCAAGGGTCAAAGGTTAAGGTCATGACCAGTAGATACTTGATAACCCTTATTAATTGTTTGATCACTGGGTCAGAAGTCATGCATAATAACCTTATAACATGACTTATTGGCTGCTGATAGGGGGCATACATGTTTTACAAACATATCTTGTTTTGAAAGTAGTACCTATCCATAAAATCCTAACATGCCATGCACCAATACAGACTATTTCCTCTTGCACTTTCATCTGTTTAACTAACATACCTTTTCCATTTCTAAATATTGCCCTTTGCCTTTGAAAATAAGTTATGTATGGTCTTTCCTCACCATATATGATCTGTCAAAGTGTATTTTTCAAAAGAAATGATGGGTGCTGAAATTGTTTTTAATAATGGAGAGTATATGTTAAAAGATAAGAGTTAAGGGAAAATGCTAGTGTCATTATTATAGTACAATGCATGTTTGTTTCCAGTAAAAGTTTCAAGCTAGTTATGTATTTCACTCTCCTCATGTATAATTGTTTATCTTTAAATAATATGTAGTTACTGCAGCAACATATGCCATACATATTTAAACATTTTTTTTATCAGCAATCTAATTATTTCCAAATTTGAACATACATGTAGTTGTAGTCTTCTGTCAGATTTCTTGTATTTTTCGTTATAATCTGAAATATTTTCTGATTTCTCTTTGCTTTCCTATTTAGGAAGGTTTTTTTTTCCGGATAATGATAACATTTGGTGTTTGTACAGTTCTACATTTTATCAATTGAAATGCATATTAAGAATTTGAGAATTTATACCTTCAAATATCTAGTATAAAGTATGACCTTATTTGAAATTAATTGGTCATAATACCTTATGATCACAAGATTTTATGGCATTCCAAATTGTTGTGTATTTCAGGATTACTATGAAATAGTTAGAAAGCCAATGGATCTATCTACAATTAAACGTAAGCTGGATACGGGACAGTACAAGGATCCATGGGAGTACGTAGATGATGTCTGGCTAATGTTTGACAATGCATGGGTATACAACAAAAAGTCATCACGAGTTTATAAATATTGCACTAAGGTTTGTAACATTTTTCTTATTGGAAAAAACTTTCCTTTTGTGACAAGTTCTAAATTAATCTAATTAAATAATAAAAAAAACCTAAAAATAAATGGCCCATACCAGAGTAGTATTTTAATTTTTATTTTGCTCTACTGATTACTGTCTAACAAAGACCTTCAATATAATTGAAAATATAAGATTACATCATTGACATCATAATCACATGTACAAAATATGGTAGATGATGGTCACATGAATAAGGTTGTTGACCTTGAAGCCAGTTGCCCTAAACAGCTGTGGGTTTGAATCCTGTCAGGGACTTTTGATTTTTACATTTAAGCAAACTATCCTGCAAGCTTGCAGAATGTTGGTGGTTCTACTTTTGTGCCTGAAAAAAGGCACAGAAAGGCACCTGAGTACTTCCTCCACCTCTTTACTCTTTACTTGAAAGTCCCCATATGACCTCTACTGTGTTGTTGTAACATATAACTCGGGGGAAAAAATCAATCTAACTCCTTGGATAAACCAGGATATTTTTAAACAAAGGCAAATGCAAGAAACAATTAAGTTTGCATGTATTGTTAATTGACCTTCAAATGTTTCATGTTCCTAGATATAATCAATGATTTACTGTTGTGGTCATCTTATTATTGATGCTTTAAATGAATTTATAGCTGAAAACATACCAATGTTTATCCAATTAATATTTGTCACAATTTGTAAGCCCCCTTTGTTTCTTATTTTCATGTTATACATAAGATAAAAGAGCAAAGTATATCAATAGTTATAACATTTGATTTGACAGTTATCAGAAGTATTTGAGCAGGAGATCAACAGTGTAATGGTGTCACTGGGCTACTGTTGTGGTATTAAGCTGTCATTTAGTCCGCAGGTGCTCTGTTGCTATGGTAAACAACTGTGCACTATTGCAAGAGAAGCAGTATATTACAGTTATCAAAACAAGTAAGATTTCATCAAATTTAGTATTGTGTATTTGTCACTAATTTTAGATGATATTTGATCGTTTTAGAGTGAGTAACTTTATATTTTAAGCTTTTGTAAACCAAGGATGGGAATAAACAATTTCTTCCATGAGTTTCTTTTCCCTTTCAAGCAAATTTCACAGCTAATTGTAACAGCGCCGAGGCACATGCATTCAGCCATTGTCTGGATTTTGTGATTTGATTGTTCTTAACAGAATTATGACATGTTTATTTTTTTCTCACATGATTATGTAGTATTGGCAGAAATGCTGTGACAACTATATTATCTTAAAATTGTTTGAAATATGTTAACTTTCAAATGGTTCTTTTTTTAGAGGTATGTGTTATATTATTTTTCTGAACAAATCTTAATTTAACTTGTTTAAATTAGCATATGAATGAAAACCATACTTTAAAAATTTAACCATAAGCATTTGTATGTCAAACTATTATTTTAACTGGTTTGTCAGTATTATTAGAAAAGTTACTGTTCAGAGATTGAAAGCTATGTTCACATTATCTCATGACTTTACAGGAAAAAGGAACTTTTGTCTGATAAATACACGTACTGCGAGAAGTGCTTTCTAGAGATACAGGGTGATCAAGTTGAACTTGTTGATGACCCAACTCAGCCTACTGTGTAAGTGTAGTTTTTATCCTTCTATAAAAATGTATCATTTGGGGAAACATTGGGATAGGTACAGGTAAATTGTACAGAATATTTTCTGTAAAGCAGACTCTGTTAATTACAAGAAGGGTACACATTGCAGATACTAAGCATAATTTAAAAAATATGGATATTACCATTAGAAGGGTAAACATGCTTGTGTGCACGCACATTTGAGTGCGGCAAAACATGAGTGTGTGTGATGATGTTTTGAATGTAGTGATAAACAGCATCCACTAGCTGGCATTTAGTGAAGAAAATCTAATTTCAGTCAGTATGGAAAGTTAATAAAAAAATCCAAGTATTGAACATTATTGATTTATCTTGTAAATTGTTTTGAAAAAAATTAAATACAAGTACATAAATTACATGTTTTGTTGTAATTTTATTCATAAGCATTAGCTACCTTATTTCAGTAATATTTAATAAAACATTTTATACTCCTGTAACTTTACATAGATTATATAAGATATGAAAGAATTTTGTTGAGTATAGAGGAAAGAAGTTAAATATTTTGTTATGCCTGTAATTAACAGATGATATATATGTAACAGAAATGTATTCATGTTTTTAGGAAAGTACCAAAAGATCAGTTCACAAAACTTAAAAATGATGTGCTAGAAATGGAACCGTAAGTAGATTTTTAGCTCGACTTTTCTATGAAAAGGGGAGCTATCCTACTCGCCCCGGCGTCGGCGTTGGCGTCACACCTTGGTTAAGTTTTTCGTACCACCCCACTTTATTTCAGAAGTATTACAAGTATGGCTTTGAAACTTACCATACTTGTTCACCATCATAACCTCCATCTACAGACAAGAGTACATAACTCTGTCAAGGTTTTTGACAGAATTATGGCCCTTTTTGACTTAGAAAGTGTATTGAGCTTGGTTAAGTTTTTTGTACCACCTCACTTTATTTCAAAACCATTGGAGGTATTGCTTTGAAACTGGACCATACTTGTTTACCATCACGACCTTCATCAACAGACAAGAGGACATAACTCTGTTCAGGTTTTTGACAGAATAATGCCCTTTTTGACTTAGAAAATACATTGAATATGGGTAAAATCCACTTATTGCCTTAACCCTTTGAGATATTGCTTTGAAACTTTTAATGCTATTTCACATCATTACCCCCATCTGTACGCAAGAGAAGGTAACTCTGTCAAGGATTTGTTTTAAAAATTAAGGCCTTTTATCGACTTAGAATCTTGGTTAAGTTTTTAGTACCAGTCCACTATTAATACTATTAAATTTATTTAAGGCTCAACTCAGTTTTTTTTTCTTTCTTACCAGCCCTCTTTTGACTTAAACATTTCAAACTTTGCTGCAGTGTTCAAGGGTATCACACAATTCAGTAAAATAATTCTTTACTAAATATCTTAATGCTCATGGCCATTGTTCACTTTAAAAATACAGAGATTCTTGTATTGCCTTTTACTGCAAAAACTTTTTTTATTGGCAAGCAATAAAAAAGTCGAGCGCGCTGTCTTACGGACAGCTCTTGTTTTGGATGTTGTTTTGTTTCAATTATTTAGAAGTCAGGAATAGATAGAATAGATAAAATACTATTTATATTAAGTTACATGGTACTCGAGGGTAATTTATTGATACATTTGGATGAGAGCTCTTGATTTGTCAGTCTTTTGTCTGTACATGTATTTATCTTAACAAAACTTGCACTGTATTGTTCAGCATATGAGATTGATGCCCCCCACATGCTGAAGGGTCAAATAGATTTGCCTATGTTTTGCTGTCTGCTTTCTGTCTGATCACTGATAAAGCATTGGAAAATGGAGGGCCGGCATTCATGACCTATTACCCTGTCTAATTTTTGGTATTTGAACAAGTAACTAAATTTACTGTCCTGTCTCTTAGTGGTATAAAAAAAGAGATACAGAAAATACAAACTTAGGTTGCTTGTAATACTGTATTCCAATAATTTAATTTTGTAAATGAAAAAAACAAAAAAAAAAACAACTAACAAATGTTGTTCACAGTGTATATGTATTATATTTTGTAGGTTTGTTGATTGTGATGATTGTGGAAGAAAACTTCATAAAATTTGTGTGCTACATTTTGAACCTATCTGTAATAATGGGTAAGTGAAAAGAAGCATAATTGAATTTGAAATAATTGTCAGTCATCTATAAGTTTATATGTAATGGTAAATTTGCTTCTGTTTGTACATCTAAATAAATGAATTAGATATCGCCTAAGAATTTAAACCCAATGCCTTGGACTGTTACTATATGATTGAACTTGTATAAATGTTATAGCAAATTTGATTTCATTGTTTTTGTATCTTATAAGAGATATTGTATTGTGCAGTAATTAATACTTTATTGTATTTTTCTAGGTTTACATGTGAGAATTGTTTAAAATCTAAAGGAATGAAAAGAAAAGAGAACAATAAGTATTGTGCAAAAAGTAAGTAAAACATATTTTACTTTGAAAATTGAATATTTTAGTTTCTTGAAAGTTTTGCTTTCAATTTGAGTAAATGATTTGACTGATAAGCTGTAAAAGGATTTTAATGTAGCTATATTTTCAGTTGTATTTATAAGTCTTCAAATTTTGTATTTGAAGTATCCTTTAAATAAACTGATACATCATGTAAAGGAGTTACTGCTTACATGTAATGTAATTACACTTTTTTTCATGATTAAAGCATTAATATCTTAAATGGAAGGTTTTTTCACCCAGTGTTTGCAGATTTATTCTGTATTCCTCAAAACCTTCACTGTTAGTTTTCACAGCATTATGTATAAATATATCTGCTATCGATTGTTCATATACTTGTTTATGCTTACTAATGTGCCTTTTCTTGAAAATGAAGTTTTTGAATATGAAAGAATAGGGAAAAGTAAATATTCTTACAAACATGAGAACTGAAATTTGTTAGTAAAGTTGGTATATTGATTATTCCAGGATTACCCGGTTCAAAGTTAGGCAATTATTTAGAGAATCGCATCAACACATTCTTAAGAATGAAGGATGCAGGTGCTGGTGAGGTGTCTATAAAAGTGCTATCTAGTTCAGACAAATTAGTTGAAGTCAGACCTGGCATGAAAACTAAGTAAGTTACCAAAATATTTTCATATTATTTTTTTACTTGCATGTACAAGTTATCATAACATGTTAAGTCTGCATGTTCACATTTCATTCCGGCCAAGAGTCATTTCTGAATAAAGGATAAATTCAGGGTGATTGTAAAAAGTTATTTCCTTTTGTGCAGGATCTTGTTCTGTTTTTGCTAGATTTCATCTGAAAATATTTAAAAAGTGTTGCAGAATAAAAGAAGTAAAAAAAAATTAAAAAACTAATAACATCTGCATAGAATTTTAAATAATCTGATTATTATATAATAGTACTATGATGATCAACAAAATATTGATGAAAAGTGATGAGTTGTGTAACAGTGGACAATAATAAAAAAAAAAACATGTTTAATTGGGTATGAATTGACCAAAAGTAGAAACAGTTGTAAACATTTTTTTTCTCACAAAGTTTCTGGTTTTCAAGCAGTTTTGTTAGGTTTTATAATCAGACTTGTGTATGTTAGATGCTTTCTTAATGTGAATGTTAGGAGATGCTGTTGTAATGTTTTGAAAATTCTTGAATCCATTTGCTTCAAGGGTCCTCCATCAGGGGTAAAATAAAACCCCTGGATCCAAATTTTGTACTTTTGCAGCCCCTAATCCCCTTAGATAAAACTAAACATTTTCTTCTGAATTACAGATTTGTTGACAATGGAGCTTTCCCTGAACAATTTCAATACAAAGCAAAGTCAATGTTTGTATTTGAAGAGATAGATGGGACTGATGTGTGCTTCTTTGGTATGCATGTCCAGGAATATGGCTCAGAATGCCCTTTTCCAAATACCAGGTATGCTTCACATTTGTTAAAACTTTATTTTCTAGGGATATGACAAAGAATTATTCTGTAAATGGCTTTTTTTATGGGGAATAAAAAGCTTTATTTTTGTGATTATTCTAGTAAAGAAGAGTTCAAAAGGATAATGTATGATTTTGTCTTTAACAAATAATTGTACGGTTTATATGTTTTAAAAATGTTATATTTCAGACGAGTGTACATCTCTTACCTAGACAGTGTACATTTCTTTCAACCTCGGCAGCTTCGTACAGCAGTTTATCATGAGATTCTTATCGGCTACTTAGAATATGTTAAATCCCTTGGTTATGTTTGGGCTCATATCTGGGCGTGTCCTCCAAGCGAAGGGGATGATTATATATTTCATTGCCATCCCCCAGAACAGAAAATTCCAAAACCCAAACGACTTCAAGAGTGGTATAAGAAAATGTTAGATAAAGCACTCATTGAAAGAATAGTAATAGATTATAAGGTATGTGCTTTTTCTACTTTGTTAGATTTTCAGTTGTAAATTTTTTGAATAATTTTTTATAGCAAATATATGCATTAGTTATTTTATACATAAAGATTTTTTTTGTTACAATTGACCTTTAGGATATTCATATGAATAATTAACCTTCAGTTATTTTGAGCCTTTTGCTGCAATGGTGTCCAAATTTTGTTTTTAACTACTGTATATTTGCTTGGCTTTTTGTTATAAATCAACTTCATTTCAGCTTTGTTTCAAGTTACAATCCATTTATTTTAAGATTTTACTTATTCCTCAGAAATATGTTATTAATAGTCTATCACTGAAGGGATATTGGTGATTACTGCTATCCAGGGACACCGGTTAGAAAGTATGCAGAGATGTAACTTAAAATGTATTGAAATTTATGTAAAAACCAGACAAAAAAAAACAAATGAAATTTTGGGCGAGATAAAGATGTAAAAAAAGGGAATTATTTTAGTAAGCACTTCATTACATTGTTAGCATAACAAATGCATCATGCTAATTGTTGTTCTTTAAAGGATATATATAAAGACTCATCAGAAAATGGTGTACGTGAAGTGACTGACCTGCCATACTTTGAGGGTGATTTCTGGCCGAATGTTCTTGAGGATATCATTAAAGAACAGGAGGAAGAAGAAAAGAAAAAACGAGAAGAAGAAGAAGCTGCTGCGGCTGAAGCGGAAGGGTCAGTTGGTGCTGATGAAATTGAAGAATCAACTGCAGTGGTAAATTAGAAATATTTGCTTTCTTATATTTCTTATTGAGTTTTTGTAATGTTAGTGATGAAAAAAGTGAGTGGACCGTTACAATTTTTTTTTTACCTTAAATGGAAAAATTATATTCATAATTTAATTACATCAAAAAAGTTTAGATTGTAACATCTTATATTTAAATGGACTGCTAAAACACTCTTCTGGAACACTGAGAAAGGTAATATATGTTTCAAGATGAAAATCATGTATGTGCAAATTCAATTGACAGATATATGTTCAGCTGTATGTAAATATTGTAGAATTCTTCGCAGGATGCCCAAGGCAAGAAGAAAGGCAAAAGTCAGAAAAAGAAAAATAACAAAAATAAGAACAATAATCGTAAGGCTAACGGCAAGAAGCCTGCTCACGGTGGAAATGATCTCACAGCCAAATTATACTCTACCATGGAGAAACATAAAGAGGTATTGTATCACTGATTTTTCTGATATAAACTGGAAGTTTGAAAATTGAAGAATAATCATTTCTTTGATTAGAGGAATCAATTGCTTTAATTTTACCTTTTTCTAATGATTAACTGCATCAGTAAACTTATGAAAATTTATATATTTTTGAACCTTTTCCTAAGTATTCTGTTGTTTTGTTCAACAGGTTTTCTTTGTTATTCGTCTTCACACTCAACAAAGTGCTAACCATCTGCCCCCAATCAATGATCCTGATCCTCACATGAGCTGTGAATTAATGGACGGTCGTGATGCACTGCTTACACTTGCTAGAGACAAACATTATGAATTCTCATCTTTACGGCGAGCCAAATATTCCTCTATAGCTTTGCTGTACGAGCTGCATAATCAGGGAAAAGAGAGTTTTGTGTACACATGTAACACTTGCGAGGCCCAGGTGGAAACTAGGTGGCATTGTACTGTATGCCAGGTATGTCTTCATTTCAATTTTCTTTCTCTTTAATCAGATACATTTAAATTATTAGTGCTTGTATCCATTTACCTAGCCTTTAAAATACAATTATTTTATTGCTGGTTATTATCTTAAAATTAATTGATTACCAAGAAAGGAGACTTCTAAAATAGGTTGCCTATTCATAGTGATATATTACTCTTGATCAGCCAATACTTAGATAAGAGGCTTTGCTATTCTTTCTAAGAACCATCTACAAATTACTTGTACACAAAGATTTAACAATATTCTTGTCATTTTCTATGTTATGAGACTTTATGTAGTTTTTACACTGTCTGCAAACCATTTGTTTCATTTTTTAGTTTAATTAAACTTTTGATTTGATACAGAATTTCTGTCTTAGAGTCGTAAATATAACAGTGAGGAAAATCAATATTTGTTGGAATAAAAGGGAGAATGTTTGTGCTAATAAATGTACATGTAAATACATCTTGATAGAAGGATGCCTTTTAATAAACAATATTATTCTTTTGACATACAATGTATAATAAATCTTTTCTATTTTTAGCGTACTTTCGGGATTATTATAAATAAATCTTACTAGTATTGTTTCTTTAAGACATCAGATCAAGATAATTTTTAATAGCAAAGTCAGTTTTGTCATTAAAGAATTAGTATTTTTCTAGAATTGCTCATTTTAGACTGTGAATATAAATTGTGTATTCTTGAGGCAATAAAAAAATGCAAATGAAATGACCATAATTATTCTTTTCACATTACAGGACTTTGACTTGTGCAACACATGTTACCACAAAGATGGTCATCATCACAAAATGGACCGTCTCGGTTTTGATCTCGATGATGGGACATCATCCGGAGATAAACAAGATCCTCAGGAAAATCGCCGTCAATCTATTCAGCGGTGCATTCAATCATTGGTTCATGCATGTGGTTGTAGGGACGCTAACTGTCGCCTGCCTAGTTGTCATAAGATGAAACGTGTTGTGGCACATACTAAAGTATGTCGCAAAAAGACTAACTCGGGTTGTCAGATTTGTAAACAACTTATTGCTCTGTGCTGTTATCATGCCAAACATTGTAATGAACAAAAGTGTCAAGTGCCATTCTGTCTTCAAATAAAGCAAAAGTTGCGACAACAACAGTTGCAAAATAGGTTTCATCAGGCACAGCTTATGCGAAGACGTATGGCTACCATGCAGATGGGTCAGAATTCTACACCAGCCATCTCTCAGGCAAGTGCTGCACCAACACCACCCATGTCTGGAGGTGGAGGTAAATCAGCTGGCGGTCCTCCACCTGCAGCTATGGCTGCAGCTTTAGAAGCACAGGAGGCAGCTCAGAGGCAAGCAGGAAGCATGGGTAAACCTGGAATTGGTGCAATGCCTCCTCCTAAAGCCAAACCACAAGTCACAAGTGTAGGTGTTATGCCACAACCAAGTATGACTCAACAGTGGTCACAACCAGGTCAACAGATGGCTCCACAAAAGCCTCAACCTCCTCCAATACCACAGACCATGGCACAATCTACTTTACCCCAAAATTTCCAGCAGAATCAACCGGGTATGGCTCAGATGAGACCCATGCAACAGATACAGCGCATGCCACAGAATCCAGGTATGGTGAACATGAATCCTGGTGTAGATATGAATCCAGCAATGAATGTCAATAGACAAATGCTACAAAGACCACAAGGCCAAGGTCAAGGAGCACCTAACGAGGCCCTTGAGCAACTTCTTCGTACATTAAAGTCTCCAACATCACCTCAACAACAACAGCAGGTGATTTCTATTCTCAAGGCGTATCCACAGTTGATGGCAGCTTTTCTGAAACAGAGGAATCCACAAGCTGGAGGGATCAGTAATCAAATGCCAACTCGGCCACCAAGTCAACAAATTGGTATGCCAAACATGCCCCAAAACCAATCAATAACTCCACAGCAGCAGGAATTACTGTGGCAGCAACGTATGAGGCAACAACAGCAACAGCAGCAGCAACAACAACAACAACAACAGATGGGTCAGCATCAACAAATGGGTGGCAACCAATTTAATGCTCCATTTAACCAAGTGCAACAACGAAGTCAAATGCAGCCATATGGGCAGCCGAGATTCCAAAACGACACAATGCAGCAGTATCAGAACTCAAACCACCAAATGATGCAACAGGTTCAACAACAACAGGCACAATTAAAACAACAAATGGTGGGTGTGGCAGGGGGCAAGCCTGTTAGTCCCCAGCAGATGCTGTCCCAGCAAAACGTTAACTCTAATTTAATGCAACAGGTCCGATCACCCCCATCATCAACATTACATCAGACTGTTCGTTCGCCACAGCCCACCCCATCACCACGCCAGCAGCTCAATCCGTCGCCACGTCAACCCCAAATGTCACCCCATCACATACCTCCGAACCAGTCACCACACCCTAATATGCAGGGTGCTGGTGCACCCACAGACTATAATCAAATAAACTCGGATCAGGTGATGTTACCCCAGTTACAATCTCATAATAGTGTGCCTCAAGTGCAAAATACAGGACTTGATATAGGACGTAGTTTACCCCAGGACACTGAAGTGAATCAGCTGGCTCCACAAGACCAGTTATCAATGTTTGTGGATACGTTGTAGCAGGAGTGATACTAGAGTGTGCATAAATTAATTCTATATATATAACTGTGTTAACTTAATTAGTTGTTCAAGGATTAACAGACATAGAGTCTGTTGAAATGTGTGTGATTTTTTTTTTGTGGAATAATTTAAGACTGATAGATATTTCTTGTTTGTCTAATGTAAAAAGTAAGATATATAGAGATTGTTTCCATTGATTTTTTTCAGTTTTCATTTTGTGTTCCCAGACTTGAACAAAAAAATGTGTATATGTCTTTAATAAGAGTGTATGTATGTATAGGTTCATTACAACAAAGTCTGTGAGAAATGTATAAAAGAAAATTATATTTTAGTTACTAAAGTGTACAGAAAATTTTCATTTAAAAGAAAGTCCATTTTTATAAATATGTCATATCATAAATGTATGATTATTAATGCTGTATTCGTACATTCTCAGATCAACCATTTCCAGCATCCATCACTGCAAGCCATCAGTTGTTTGTTCCCCCGACATTCATTCATTTATCTATTTCCACATTGCTCATTATTACTTCAGTGTAGATAGATTAATATACTTTGTTTATTTGTATGGTTTTATTAAAATAAAACAAATACTGCTTTAACTAAAACAGGATTATGACTAAAACTATGTATGTCCATAAATTGTTTTTTTTCCCATTCTGAAAACTTACTATTTTTCGATATATTTTTTGTTCTGAATCTAAATTTTTCATTGGTTACATATAATTGTACAGAAATTCCATATTATATCTCTTGAGTTGATGGGAATAAAGTTACTGTGTCTCTTATTATATACTGTTGAAAAACTAAACAGTATTTCCTGCATTAAAGATTTCTCTACAGGTTTTATCTTTGTTCGTAGTAAGGGTCGAGGATGCTAAATGATACTTAAGTTTTTTTTATATGCTGTAATGTGGATTAGTTTTGAGATAAGAAAGGTTTTTATAGCAGCCAAGTCTGTGATTGTTGCAGTCCTGATTAATTTATAAACTAACATTTTATTCCAGCATTTCGATGCAAGATTGGTTTATTTTTTTTTTGTAAATGTTATATCTATGTAATGTTTGTAAAAGAAAAGAACTATAGATATATACCTATATGAATGTGTTTAACACGGTGATTTACTATGACACGAGAAACAGGGTCTTTTTAAAGCTACAATTTAATTTTTATATGCATTTTTTCTTTTCATAAAAAGCTAAAAGAAGTAGAAAAAATAGTTTGGTGCAATATGAGTTTAAGTATCCATATTACAAATAATACTTATTAGAAAAAAAAAATATTTCTTGAACTACCCCAAGTTGATCTTGGTTACTGTACTTAGAAGAAAAAATTGAATCTGTGATTGAATTCTCTTTAGTTGCCCCGTATCTAAAGCTAAGTCTGTTTTTTTCCTGTCATACTTTGTAAGTAAATTGAAGGGAAGAGAAAAAAACACTGGTTCCTTTATTTCTAAATTATTTATATTTCCAACATTTTTATCGTTAGAAATAACGGAACCAGTTCTTTTTTTTTTGTTTTGTTTTTTTCATTGTAGCCCTGTTGACCTGTTAACCAAAGGACCCATATAGGGGTTTTGATTGTTTGTAAAGCTTTTGTATTTTTGTCAAGATTTCACATTACGTCGGGAGTGCTGATGGTCACTTGCAAATAATGTAAAAAAATAAACATTACATATTATAAAAAAAATCATTTTGTTTTATTATTTTGCTCAATTGCTAATTGAATGCTAGTTAATGTAAAGTATCTGTATAAAATACACTTGAAAGAAAAATTACCAAGTCTTGATTTTACTATACAAAGTCTTCATTGGACTATATGTTTGTTTTGGCGTGATAACCCTGTGTAGTAACTTGATTATAAGCTTTACATGATGATTTTCTATGCCTAGATTTGAACTGTTTAAGGAGATTTTCAGCTGGTGGTCCATGAAGCCGGTAATAGTTTTAATATGCTGGTGCTATTATAGGCTTGTAATTTTCACACCTAGCATTCATTATTGATAGGAATCTCTTTGTCTATTTGAACAAGTTGGTTATATATAAAGTTACACCCATGTATATGTTTTAAAGTGAAATTATGATTTTTTTCCCACTGTTTGGTTGAACAAGTATTTTATTTCAAGAGATTGACTTTAATGATGGTGATTGACCAATATAACCAATATAAAATATAACTAAATCATAAAAAGACTGCCCCACTCTTTAAAAAAAAACTAACTAAATCGTAAAAAGACTGCCCCACACTTTTCAAAAAATGAATGTTGCCAATATTTATAGATTTTGCATATTGAACACAATTATGGCAAAATGTTATTTGATACTGACCTGTGCTTTCAACATTTATACTTGGATGGACATAATTATTTACATATCCATGTTAATGGCATTTTATATAGTGGCATTCATTTTTCCAGCCATTGAAAATATGAATGGTTCAATATTTTTGGTATTAGTGCCATGGCTGCTGCTTATTTAATACAAGGGGCACAATCCTTGCAGGTTACAAATGCAGGCATCAAGTTATAAGTTATTCCCCTTTATACATAAAGGTACTTGATGTATTTATTAAAAGTATTTTCTGTTTCTGCACACAGTGAAAAAGAAAAGAAAGTAAAAGGTATTGTCCATTTTTGGGCCTTTCCATGCATACCCTAGTAGCGAAGCAAAATTGTGCCAGATGTACATAATTAAATAGATATTCATGGACTTGGTAACAATAAGAAACTAAGGTATATATGCCAACGTGAATAATAGAGATAATGATAAACAAACCTTCATGTGATCTGAACTAAACACGAAACAAATATTTGACCACCAATGATTATGGCAAGAAACAACTTCAGTACCATCTTTGCTCCGCTTTCGGAAGAACAGGTGAGTTACTCTCCTGACCCACTTGGTGTTGGTAAATATTTTATCAAGTTTACGTTTATGTTCATTTACTGTTATTTACAGCAATGCTTGTGAAGTTGTAGCTCTATGTGAGTCGCGACGAGTTTCATTATCTCAGAAATTGTCAAAAGATATTCACTCAAACCTTTTGGTATTCTCCATGATCATCAAAATGTGACGCTATATCACAAGTGCAGATAATTCGAAAATTATGTTGAAGAGTTATGTCCCCTATTTGACTTATCTTTTTGCCCTGGCCAACCGCTGGCATTTTATATTTTCCTTAGTTTCTTATAGAACACGAATGATTATTCACTTTAACTATCAAGGGCAGGTCATTCTTGCAAGCATATTTGAAGAATTATGCCCCAATTTCTACTTTTTATCCTGAGAAAAGTGGGGCGCGCTGCTACCCGGACAGCTCTTTGTTAACATCATTTTCCGCTGATTCACTTAAAAAAGGTAAACTAAGCCTGGTTAAGGTCGTTGACTTTACAACACTTGCCCCTATCCACTGTGGGTTTTGAATCTCGGCAGGGACATGTGAAGAGGCTATCCAGCTAGCTTATGAAACATCGGTGATTCTAATAGCTGCCTTTTCGTGTCTGAAATAAATTCAAGTAAAGCATGGAAGGGCGTGTGTTGTTGCGACGTAAAACTCAACCCCAAAAACTGGTAAACTGGACGTATCGAACTTACAACCTTCATTTTGAAACTGAAAGTCTTAACACGTCACTGAGGTTAGTAAGGCAAGTTTACAAGTTAAATACATATACCGTCGTACCATTCTCTAGAATGCGCATGATTTACCTCGAGATCCGACAATTACCGACAAAAGGTCATTGAACATTTAAATGTATCCGATAAATGTTGCCAAACATAATACCAGTGGCGTTTTTGGACAAAAATAAGAGGTTTAAAGTGAGAAACTACATATACTGGTTAACATCTTTTTCTTAAGTGACCGGAAAACTACTTACTAACATAAATCAATGACGATGACGGGCTTGTACTCATAAAGTTTGTGTATCAAATCTCAACCGTTACGTCATACGTTTAAGTTTTGTGCATAGAAATGTAAAGTTCAAAATCCAAAACGTTCCAAGGATTTCAATTTTACTTTTAATCCTTGTTGGTGAACTTAAGGCTCACATGTCGCTAGAGACAAAAATGGGACGCAAACGGCGTGTGTTGGTAGCAAGTGCACTTAAAATATTTAAAAAATGTTGCCATGGTAACACAAAGTAAAATATGTATTTGAAAAGACAGTACAAACTGGGATAAAGCTGCCAGGCGTGATATTCAGTGCTGCATCAATATTTTATTGACAAGTCCCACTACTCTTGCATAATCTAGTTCTAAGACTTATTTTTTAGGAAGAGCGAGGAGACGTATCTTGGGATGACATTTGCCATGAACAAATGGATAGAAATCATCAAAATAGTCAATAATAATAACAACAACGATAAAAACTGAAGGTCCTCAAGTACGATGTGACAGGCTCGGTTTGATTGTACTGTTATGCGTTGGTTATAGTTAAAGCTTCTTTAAGAATTGTGTAGCATCCGCAAAGGTAGTCGTAGGTAGTTCAGTACTGTAGTTGTCGTGGTATGTCAATGTAACACCTTCGTGTTATTCCATAAAATAGTGGGGTCTGTCACCATGTATCTTTAACAAAAAGAAAAAGAAAAACAGTCGCCGGTTCCTATAATACTGTGTCTTGTAACGAATTAAATATTTGCTGAAAAAAAGATTTGGTTAGTTTATCTCTTGGCCTATATTCGAAAAAAAAATATTTTCACATTTTCTTGTCATGAACCCAAAGAATGGATTAATAGCGGCGTTGGATAGACTAAAAAAAACAACAAAAAAACATTTTATTGTTTATGTAAATGAATATACAAATATAATAATCAAGCTCGCACTGTTGTATCCTTGTATGTTTTTTTCCTATTTTCACAAATTTGTAGGCTTTCTGCTTTACCTTGAACTTCTACTTCTCAAATTGTTACTTATTGTTCATCATAACTGTGAGTTCAATGCCGCCACACAAAGGAACTCAGCAGACATCCAAAAGCCTTATATCATAAAAAATTATTTTTCACATACATCAACTGGGACATTCATAACAAGTAAGAAAGACTATCATCAAAACTCAGAATGAATGAAATTGAACTTCTACTTTTCATCACAAAAAATACTACATGAACATCACAAAGTCGCGATCAAACAAAATCTGTAACAACCTTAGATACATTCATAGTTTCTGTTTAGTTTGATCAAATAGATTTTGATGACATCTTATAAAAGGCTACTTGAGTGGCGGCATGGCCGAGTGGTTAACGCGTCGGACTAGTAATCTCATGATTGCTAGGCGCATGGGTTCAAACCCCGTCAGGGACAAGTCGTTGTTTCCTTGAGCAAGAAACTTTACACTCAGTACTGGTTGGTTCCAGGAACGGATTCGAAAGTGTGTCTATAAGCTTATAGCTTCCTACACAATCGAACTAAAATAAATTCTGTATAAACCAAAAGGCTACTTGCTTGAACTAAAGATGAATAGAAATGCTTAAAATGACTTTTTGGAGTATTTTTATGGATCCACATCTCACTTGTTCTGTAACAGAGAATGAAAATGCACCAAATCTAATGTTGATCTTTAGCATCTTTATTCTTCTGTGAAGTTTGCACATATAAATATGGTTAGTCCCTTTAAGGGAACAAAAAGGGTTAAAAAAATATTCCCATTAACCTTTCTTACTTGGTTTTATTAAACAGCCATTGATCCCTTTAGAAGCTAAGCTAAAATAGATACCTTGTAATGATTCTATAAATTTATATGCCTTGGCTGATCTGTAGGTCCAATACCACCGCATAAAATAAGAATCCCTAAAGAAAGCCCAAAACTGAAAATGTTGCAGACTAAGTTTGATTGAGCTTGTTCATTGACGGTACTGACAAATGCAATCTACCGTACACGCCCCCATAGCACCGGCTTAAGCAGATTTCAACATTTAAACATGAAATGGAAAACTTTTGAATTTAGAAACATCTGCAGTTGTGTACATACGGCGGTAAAGATGTATCTTTCTACAGCTCACTAAAATAAAAAAAAAGTTTGACATTGGCCAGCGAGGCAAATTTTAATGAAACTTCACCCGCTTTCGCACGTAAGTATAGATTATGTATCTTGGTTTATGACTCCTATATCCTTTCACTATACATCGAATAAAATGATAATTGTAAATAAATATAGCCAATAGATCAAACTACCGCGTTTTAAACCAATAAAGGCCACTCTAGCCTAGTGAAAGCTAGATAGCTTCCAACTCTCGCGTATGGATTTTCTTACCGGGAGTTAAATAATAAAACATAATAAGGTGATTTGCGATCAGGATTAATTTACGTTTATACCATACACAGTACTAAACAAAACATTCTGAATTGAAGGAAACATTAAAAAAAAATTTGGATTTATTTGCAACGGAAAATGTCGGTTCCACGTTTAAATTTGGATGCGAAGTAAGTTCATAAATATTTTCTCTTGTTTTTATAATCTATTTGCATTAACTGTCAATTACTATTTTTTATCTCGTGTGACATGCTCGTAAAAGACAAAGAAATCATATTAATACAATTAAATTGAAAAAAGAGAAGATAATTGAATGCACATTTTTGTATATATATAAAATTAATAACTCGGACAGAAAAAATAAATACTGTTTCGGATCTGACCACAAATATTTTTTTTCAACCGAAACGTTATTTAAACGACCAACGCCATTCTGTGACAGTATCGTTTCTAACATTTTATTTCTTCAAGTAATTGCCAACTTCTTCACATCTAGATAGACGTGAAGAACGAATGTCATTAAAACT